ACCTGACTCACATCCGGCTCATACCTAAGATACAAAGCCCTCAAAAGATGGTTGATTATAGGCCTATTGCGCTGTGTACGGTATTTTATAAAATCATCTCTAAAATGCTGTCCAAGAGACTTCAACCGGTTCTGCAAGATATAGTTTCGGAGAATCAGTCAGCTTTTGTGCCCAAAAGAGCAATCACTGATAATGTACTGATTACTCATGAAGTCTTACACTACCTCAAGACTCCCAAAGCTAAGAAAACATGCTATATGGCTGTGAAAACCGATATGAGCAAAGCCTACGATCGCCTAGAGTGGGATTTCATCAGACTAGTTATGGAAACTATGGGATTTCATCAGACATGGATCCAATGGATTATGCAGTGTATAACTACGGTCTCATATTCCTTTCTACTTAATGGCTCAGCGCAAGGCCAAGTTATACCTCAAAGGGGAATCAGACAAGGTGACCCGCTGTCCCCCTATATCTTCATACTTTGTAGTGAGGTACTTTCAGGTTTATGCATAAAAGCTCAACAAGAAGGCAGGTTACCTGGCATTAGAGTCGCTTTGAGCTGCCCTAGAGTCAACCACCTCCTATTCGCAGACGATACTATGTTCTTCTGCAGATCAGACTTGGAGAGCTGCAAGGAACTCCTAAAAATTCTACAAAAGTACGAGTCAGCTTCAGGGCAAACAATCAACAAATCAAAATCTGCTATAACTTTCTCGTCAAAAACTGGGGAAGATACAAAGATCCAGGCTCAACAGCTGCTGGGAATTCAAAGTAAGGGTGGATTAGGGAAATATTTGGGCCTACCTGAGCAGTTTGGAAGAAAAAAGAGAGACCTCTTTAATCTCATCATAGACAGGATTCGACAAAGGTCTCTCAGTTGGTCCTCACGATTTCTATCCTCAGCAGGAAAGACTACGATGCTGAAGTCAGTATTAGCGGCTATGCCAACCTATACGATGTCTTGCTTCAAACTCCCAGGCTCCCTCTATAAACGTATTCAATCAGCCCTCACAAGGTTTTGGTGGGATGCATCTGCAGAAAAGAAGAAGATGTGTTGGGTTGCATGGATTAAACTGGCAAAATCGAAGAAAGATGGAAGGTTAGGGTTCAGAGACTTACAAATGTTCAATGATGCCCTCCTCGCAAAAATCAGTTGGAGGATCCTCACTAAACCATCTAGTCTGCTGGCAAGAATCCTTTTGGGTAAGTACTGTAAGGAATCTTCCTTCTTGGATTGCCCAATCTCTCCTTCAGCTTCTCATGGTTGGAGAGGAATCTGTATTGGGAGGAATCTACTGAAATCTCAACTGGGGAAAGCCATTGGTTCTGGAGCAAATACGCGGATCTGGTATGAACCTTGGTTATCTCTCACCAAACCTGTAACTCCCATGGGACCACATCCGGAACAAGCTCAATCCTTGATGGTGGAAAACCTCCTCTGCCCAACATCCCGTGCTTGGAACAGAGAGAAAATTCAGAAGCTACTCCCAGATTATGAAAATGATATCCTAGCTTTAAGACCAAGTAAATTGGGAGCTCGGGATAGATACATCTGGCTACTAACCAAGACGGGAGAGTATAGCGCAAAATCTGGCTATCAAGCTGCCTCAATGGAGGACGTAAGCTCGGCTCACCATTCCAGTCTGCAACCAGAATTTAATTGGATTAAAGATGTTTGGAACATTAAAACTTCAACGAAAATGAAGTTTTTTCTATGGAAAGCCATGAAAGGAGCTTTACCTGTTGGGGAAAACCTCAAATCGCGAGGAATAGTCAACTCTGCACTCTGCCCTCACTGTGGCCAGGAAGAGACCTGCTTACATTTGTTCTTCCACTGCACTTTTGCCAGTCGTGTCTGGGAACTTGCTCCCCTGAAAGCTCCTCTAAATGTTTCAAGAATCATAAATCTACGGATGGGAATCGAAGCATCACAGCATCTGGTGTGCTTACCACCTTCTGGGATCGGAGCTTTTCCCATACTTCCCTGGATTATGTGGACGCTTTGGAACTGCCGAAACAAACTAATTTTTGAACAGAAGCAACCTGTTCCTTCAGATGCGATGCTATATGCTACTATCCAGGCAAGAGAGTGGATAGCTGCGCAGATCTGCTCAAATCCAGCCCAAATTCGTTCAGGAATAGCTCAGACCTCGGAATTACCTGCGGGTATGATCCGTTGCTTTACCGATGCAGCGTGGAGAGAGGACAACAAGACTGCAGGTTTTGGCTGGATCTTCAAGGATTACCTCGCACAATCGGAAAAACAAGATGGATCTACAGCGCGAGACGTGAGCTCTCCTCTAATGGCTGAAGCTATAGCCCTGTTCCTTGCTCTTCAACAAGCTTTAGCTCTTGGATACAAAAACATTTCCTTTGCTTCAGATTCGCAACAGCTGATCAAAGCACTCAATGAGGAGCCCCAATCGAAAGAGCTCCATGGGATTCTTCATGACATCCTATTCCTATCTTTAGATTTTGACGATTGTAGCTTCTCTTTTGTACGGCGTGATCTGAATCAGAAAGCCGATGAGATAGCGAAGTCGAAGTTATTATTTGCTTCTTCTGTACCGGTTTAACATCTAATGAAAACCAACCTTTTGGACAAAAAAAAAAGTAACTTCAAATCTTCTCCATATCAGGAAATTAAATTGAAACAAATTAAAGAAATGTTTATGATTGCAAAAAAAAAAAACTAAAGAATATTCTAAAATTTGTTTAGTTGGAAAAAAAGAAACTACCAATTATTTAGGGATTTCGAATATATTAAATTTGCTTGATCTTCAAGATATTTTATGATTAAAATATTTTATTTAACCTACTCATTGCACTCTATAAATACCTCTTCAATCTTAGTTCCTAAACACCATAACCAAACACTTTTATTTTTTTATTCCAAAGAAAAATAAAAATGATCATTTTCGTGTTACTATTCTTTAAAACATTAAATGTTACCTAATATTTTTTATGCTCCACTAAAAGATTAGTTTGTAGTACTTCTTATCATTTGATCTTCGATTTTTGTTTCAATTGTCTAGTTTTTTTTTTGCAAACGTTTTCATGTCTCTTCTCCCCATTCTTAATGTTTGTAAATTTTTTTTTTTTAAGGCTAACAAATTCATTCATTTTCTTCTTCTTTCTTTAGGGTAAGAAGAAAATGATTTCTTTTTATACATAAAATGAGATTCTTAATTTTTAGTTTTCATTATTCTAATGTTATCATTTTTAAATCAATTAGTTTTATCAATAACGGGTTTTTATATGGTTAATTTTTGTTACTAAATCACATCATATTTTTTTTATATATTTTGTAATTCACGTTAAATATTTTCTGTTTTCTGATTTTGTTTCTATGTATGTTTTAATTTTCACTAATTTTATATCTAATTTTTGATATTTTGTAAATGTGTAATGTTCCATGGGTCTAAATTCTGATTTCACTAATGTCCCACAGGTCAATTCACTAAATTCGGTAAATGTGAATTTTATATCTAAATTCTGATTTCACTAATGTCCCACGGGTCAATCTCTGAATGTGTAATTGAGTTACTAAATTACATCTAATTTACAGGTTAAATCTTAAAAACTAAAAAGTGTAATCATATAACTTTAATACTAGATAAAATTTATTGTAAAAATCCAACATTTTTATATATGTAATAAGTTTTTAAAAGTTTTAATCTTCGTCTAAATGTGTGATTGCAATACTAAGTTATTCAATTACATATGTTATACATGTTAAATCTAAAAATACCAAAAGTTAACTCATATAACTTTAATACTAAATAACAGAATACCAAAATCTAACATTATTATATATAAATAAAATATTATCTCGGTTAAATCCTAAATTTTTATAAAATTAACATATAAAAATGGCCAAAAAAAACATACCAAATAAATACAACAAATTCATCAACTTAAATAAAAATATAAAATTATTAAATATTTTAGCCCGCGGTGTACCGCGGATCATATTCTAGTTTTATTTAAACGTATTTAACTTTTCAACCAAACTACACAAATTTTTTGTATAATTTTTATTTACTGGTTCCTACATCGGGTTTCTAGTAAACTATAGGTAAGTTTTTTCGTTATATAACAAAAGGGCAGAAAATCCAAAATAATTCAGAAAACACCTGTAATCCTATTTGGACCGGATTAGTCATCAAATTCGAATTTTATGGATTTTGGGCCTTGTTCAAAAACGCGGACTAGGCGGCCGATTAGTCGCCGGCGAGGCGCTCGGCGGTGGTGGACCGTTGCGATTTGTCCAAATCGGCCAACAAATCGGAGTTTCAGAAAAAAATTCATATTTTGCTTTGATTTAAGTTAGAAATCGATAGTTAACTAATAGATCTATCATAATTTGGTATAAACCTACAAGAAAAACATGAAAACGATGGAATTGTGAAAAAAAAAAAAAAAAAAAAACGCAGAAACTAGGGTTTTGTTGTCGCAGGGAGAAAGGAAGGGGACGGGGGCAATTTTGTAAATTTGCGATTCTTAAAAAAAAAAGAGATAAATATCAAAATTGAGCATCGAACCCTCGTTCCCAAGGTCAAAAGAAAGAGACAGACCACTGTACCACGTTATAATCATTGTACACTTACGTTTTTTTAATATATATACATAAATCTAAATTAAAAGTATCTAAAGTTAATCCCCGAGTAATCCCGTTTAATCCCCGAGTAATCCCGCTAGGCGCTAGGCCCACCCCGGCCGCCCGACTAGCGCCTAGCGTTTATTAGAACAAGGATTTTGGGTCGGGTCATTTTAATCTCTCTATTTTGCAAAATAAATAACAGGGCCGGTCGGCTCGAACCAATTTCTCCTTTTCAGTTCTCGCTACCTCGACGACGCAACTAAACTTGGTACTCTTCTTTTTTTTTTTTTTTTTGGTTTTAATTGGTACTCTTCTTTCTTTTATCTGAAACCCTAAACTTTCGATTTGAATCTTTCGTTTCCGATTTCTTGAAAATTTCAATTGCAGTTTCCTTACATCGATGAAACCCAAATCCTATTGTTGTTAGATCAAATTGAATATCAAACCAAGATGGTGAATCTGTTCTTGTCTGAACCAAAGTGGAACGATGTTGCCCACAACAGTAGCAACAACATCAATGTGATTTTGCCTCTGTTGAACAAATTAGGCTCTCAAATTCAATCGTTGGTGACTCATGGAGCTCGATCAGAAGCTAGACTTTGGCTCTGTAGTGCTCTTTCTACTATTTCTATATCCCCTAGGAAGCAACTTAGTATTTTCATGAAGTTATTGAGATCAAAACCCAGAAAGATGCAGTTTTTATCTCAGCTTCTGACAATGATGTTCGAAAAGAGACCGAGGAAACTTGGATCTTTGTTAGCCAAAAGAAGTTATATACTTGAGAAGTTCTTTGAAGGTAAAGAGTCTTAGTTAGATTTTGCTCACATTGTTTGTTTACATTATCATGTGATTGTGTTTGATGTAGAGTTTTTGATATTTGTAGGGAATCCGAAGCGTATACTAGAGTGGTTCTCTGAGTTTGCTTATGATGGTGGGTCTGATCACAAACGAGGTGCAAAAGCATTGGCGCAGTTTGCGTTTGCGAATCGGGATATTTGTTGGGAAGAGCTCGAGTGGCGAGGTAAACACGGGCAATCGCCTGCGGTTGTTGCTACAAAGCCTCATTATCTTCTTGATTTGGATGTGCAACGAACCATTGAGAATTTTCTCGACAATGTTCCTGATTTCTGGTCTTCCAATGAGTTTGCTGAGTCTCTTAAAGATGGACAGATTTTGTTTCTTGACACGAAATTCTTTATAGATCTCTTTATTCGTTTCATGTATGAAGAAGATATGCATGATGTGTGGGATGTTGTTGAGGAGTTTCTTAGGGAGGAGTCTTTCTCTTCGTTAACACAGCATCTCCTTATCACTCTTGAAGAACGTGACTTGTGTCGATTTCTTGAATTGCTTGGCAACTATTTCGAGCCAAGTATTGAATCTTGGGATAGTGGTGACTCGTCTTGCTGGCTCGGGGTTGTTCTTTCAAGATATGTCGACACAGAATCGATTGACGAGCTGCTACTGCTGAATTCTATTATCAACCAAGGTCGTCAGCTATTACGTCTTGTACGTGATGAAAACGGCAATGATGAGGGAGAACTGCTGAAAGAAACCATGGAAGAGATATGCAGAGGTTTGGAAAACGACAGTAGCTTTTATCTGATTCTGAGAGAGCTCTCGAAGATGAAACACATAGAGGTGATAAAATTACTCGGGCTACTTTCTTGGACTATTCACTATAGATTATCAGAGGAATGTCAGACACCAGATTCATGGGAGCTTCTATTTAGAGAAAACGGGATTGAGTTCCGCAGGTCTAGTGACCACTCGTTGCTAAGCTATAATGGACTTTCTGAAGAAAGTGAATCTGACTCAGATAGTAGAAGCCATATTTCTAAAAAGAGGCACAAGAGGGAGAAAAAGAAAAGAAGGAAGAAAAAGAAGAGGGCTTTTGATGATGATGATGATCTCGGTGATGATGATCTTATAGGTCTGCATTCAATAAGTCGAAGTTGGTTGCTATCTACTGATGGGTTTTCTGCAACATGGACCAGTGTGAGTTTCCTGATCTTATTTATTTGTGTTTCGTATAATAGATGTGTTTCTTATTTGTGTTGTTTATCATGTGAGATGTTTTTTTTCAGGTGGATTTACCTGAATACATCGCAAGGTATTGTTTGTCGACATGGATGAAGTGGTTACTAGCTAGACAAAAATGATTCACACACAAGTCAAATGACATAATAGTAAGGTTGTACTAGTTACTTACAACCTTAACCTGTGCGGTCTACATGCATTTAAGTTTAGTCTCTTCGTTTTCCTCTAGAAAGGTTGGGACTTTCATGGTAACAAATATTAATGCCTCGTTAATCTAAAAGTTTGACTCGTTAATATTGTGTATCATACTTTCGACTCTTTGTATTCCTCTCTAAAGGTTGCGACTTTTGCAGTTCCCTTTCATGTCTATATAAAGACACGTAAGTTCAGAATTAGGATTTATCACTTACCCTCATTGTTTCAGAGATGTCTTCTTCCATTGTTAAAATCGGAATAGATAGCATCAAAACAACGGTAACTGAAAAAGAGAGCGATATCAACCGTCTTGTGAAGACAATCTTGTCCAACAAAAACAACAGGAAGAAGATAATTGGTCTTGACACCGAACGGGTGCAAAAGGGAAGAAAGCTAAATAAGACAGTCTTGTTGCAGCTCTGTGATGGAGACAATTGTCTAATAGTACAACTTCCCAATGAAGGTGAAGGTGAAGGTGAAGGTGAAGATGACAATCTGCCTCTCTCTCTTTTCAATTTTCTCAACCTACCCGAGTTCACATTTGTAGGCATTGGCATAAACAAGACTATGATTAGGCTTGAGAGTGAGTTTGGTTTGACCTGCAAGAATGTTGTTGAGATTGGACCCGCCACATGGAACCTGACCAATATGACGGCCGATGTGAAATTTAGGATCAGTACTATTGTTTCGACTGAGAGACCAACAAATGCCATACTTGACGACTGGGAAAAATTTGTTCTCAATAAGAACCAGATAAAGCTTGCAGCCTCCAATGCATACTTTGCTTTTGGCATTGGGAACATTCTGTTGGATGTGTTTGGATTTTAAGTTTATCAATCTAGATTTCTGTTTGTCTTTCTTTCTTATGTTCTTCAGTCTTTTGTTGTAGTTTGCATTTCAACCGTCTACATGCCACAAAAATGTAAGGGGGCTGAAGGATGATGATTAAATGTTGTTAAAGCAATGAAATAGCTTTTGACAGACGAGGTATGAAATTGAAACTGAGTCAGTCATCATCACTCTATGTAAAGTGGCTGGATTAGTTTCCAATTTGTGACTTTGTGACCAGTAAAACCCAAATTTTGAAGATAAGAGTTTGGGCTCAGAACCCAAAAGAAATGAGCCTCTTTGCATTGATTTTCTTTGATAGTGAAAATTTTATTGAATAAAATGCCAAAATAGTAGTAGTACTGTACAATTGTTTGATGTTTTCCATGAAAAAGAAATAAAGACCATGTATTGGAGAGAAGAGAGAGTCAGAAAAAGTCAAAAAGATTCTTTTGAAAGACGGGTAACTTCAAAGTTCAAGTAATTATTGCATTTTCATATACGCTCTGTTCCTGGATTCACTAAATCTTATTTGAATACATTTTCAATTCGTATATCAAATTTAATATTGTAACTATATGCAAGAATGTTTTTTGCATAAAAACCTCAAAAGTATTGAGGTTTTGCAAATCTACCCTCCAAATTCTTAAAGTGCATGACAATTGACAACTACCCAACCAACAAAAAAGCTGCAATACAAATTGTAAAATATAAATCCTCGGTTATATCGACCGAAACATGCGGGAAAAAACCCGAAAAAACCGCCATCTATTTTTTATTTGGCCGTTTAATACCTGTACTTTTAAAATTGGAATAAAAATTCCTTCTTTATTTTTTGTTGTCTTTTAAAAGCTTCGTTTTTTAAAACTGGTAATTTGGTACCTGCGAGTTAACGACCGTTAACTTTGCTAACGGAAGCACTAACTGCGGTTAAAACGTAACCCATGGTCTTTAAGTATATATATATACATTCTCGTTTCATAACTTTCCGAATATATTGTCCTAGTCAGGTGGTTAAACGTGGAGTTGGCTATCTTTCATACCCTAGTTCGATTCCTCCATCTGTGTCTTTTTCGCGTTTTTCTTTAATTTTTTGTTCTTCAATTTTTTTGCTCTCATCCCAATCCGCGGAGAAGCGAATCACCGCCGGGACTGAAACTTGCTGAGATTTGTCAACCCGGTTACTGCCTTCCTCCGCCAGTAACTGAGCCGCCGCTGCTGCCGTACAATTTCAATCACTTACATCACTTTTCCCGGCGGTAGATCTCCAATATTGTCATCTCCGTACGTCCACCAGAAAGCCGTCACGATCCATAACGATGTTAATCTGAAGAAGGAGACTTTAAGGCTCATACCCGACCCGGAGAATCCGAATCAACTTCTTGTCTTCTTCACATTTGACCCAGAAGTTTTTAATTTCAAACTTTGAAATTATCAAATTTTGCATATGCCCTTGTTAATTTAGTTATAGTTTGAATCTTGTTTGAATCAATCAACGTATGGAGTAAAATAAATGACTTTGCTTTTGTTATTTTGGTTGGGGAGAACAGGATCACAGTTGTTTTCTTTGCTACAGAAGATGAAGATGAAGATCCGCATCTCAGCAAGTTTCAATCAGGAAAAAAAATAAAAACAATTTTCTTTAAAACACAGATGGAGGATTCGAACCCAGGGTAACAAAAATAGCCAACACCACGTGTAACCACCTGACTAAGGCAATATATTCTTAAAAGTTAGAAAAGCAATTGTATATATATATACTTAAAGACCATGGGTTACGTTTTAACCGCAGTTAGTGCTTCCGTTAGCAAAGTTAACGGTCGTTAACTCGCAGGTACCAAATTACCAAGTTTTAAAAAACGAAGCTTTTAAAAGACAACAAAAAATAAAGAAGGAATTTTTATTCCAATTTTAAAAGTACCGGTATTAAACGGCCAAATAAAAAATAGATGGCGGTTTTTTCGGGTTTTTTCCCTTTTATTAAAGATGAAAAACAAAGAGCGTTGTTTAAGTTGCATGGAGAAAGCGAAATAAGAGCTCGGATGTTATGTTGTTTTTCCAAGTTAAAATTGTAGACATTTTTACTATAGATTAATCACATTTGAAAAAAAAAAAAAAAAGAAGTTAGAACTATGGTTTGACTAAACATTTTTTCCAATCAAAATTTATCAGGGTTAGATTGAGACATTAGATTAAATTGAATCTGATTAAAGTTTAAGAAGAAAAAGTTATAGAAAGAAGATCATGAAAAAAAAATGAGTAGATAAGAAGTTTCATAAATAGAAAATATTATTTTTCTAATCGACGAAAAGAAGAATTATTCCCAACAAAAAATAGCACTAGAATTGTCGATTTTCCTTTTAGAACAACACAACATGAAATTTGTAAAACGAAATTTGAGAAAAGGTGTGTAATACTGTTTTTTCCGTTGGTGGTTAATTGTCTTTCATTTATGGAATGTAAACGGTAAACTTTTGCAAAAAAGGACATTACAAGGATGTGTATTGCAAAAAAACACATAAACAGTTACTTTGATAAAAGTAAAAATGGTTGCAGAGTATTATTATTACTCAATAGGCCCTAGCTCAGTCACACAGGTACACATCCATAATAGTGCCCCATTAACTTCTTTCACTCTCTTATTGTGTGTGAACAGTGACAGAGAAAGAGAGAGCTTTGCAGAAACAAAAAAAAAAATGCAGAACTTTTGGTTCACCATCTTCTTCTTCCTGCTAACATGCGCACCACCGTCTTCTTTATCCTACGCATCCGCCGTAACTCTCAGCCGTCGTCTCCTTTACGACTACGAATCACCTCTTCCTCTTCTTCTATCTCCCATTAGCCCTCCTTTCTTCCCTCTTGAATCCTCTCCTCCTTCGCCTCCTCCACCTCTTCCTCCTACTCCTCCGACCACTTTCGCCGTCTTTCCAACTTTTCCGGCTAACATCTCCGCCTTAGTCCTCCCTCGCTCCTCTAAACCACACCACACTTCACCTACACTTCTCCTCCCAGCTCTCTCCGCTGTGTTTGCCGTCGCTACAGTCATAGGCTTGGCTTTGTTTCTCTACGGCCGGCACCAAGGGCAAAACCGTCATTTCAAGAACTCTCATTGTTCCAGTAGCAACACAAGCAGCTATGGTGATGAGCAGAGTCATATCACCACTAACTTCAACATGGCTGCTACTACTTCTCCTTCAGAAGTTTTCTACATCAATACAGAGGAATCTGACCATATTAGAACCGGAGGAACTTGTTTCTTGAAGCAAGACTCGCCGGAGATACGACCATTACCACCATTACCTCCTCGTAGCTTCCACCACAACAACTATGAAACAGAGGTAAACGAAGAAGACGAAGAAGAAGAAGAAGATGTGTTCTTTTCACCTATGGCTTCTTTACCTGGCTCAGAGAACTCAAGCCCATCTCATTCATGCTCTTCGTCCTGCTCCGGTTGGGTTTCTCCAGCTAGGTCATTCTCCATCACCATGTCTCCACCAAACCCTAGATACTCAGACGCCACTAACCTTCAGTCTCCGTCACCGGAGAGACTAAGAGTAAGAAAGAACTACAACGGAAATGGGTCGTCGTCTTTAAGAATGTTTAGCTTTTGGAATCAAAATATGGGATTTGGGTTTCCTCGTATCTCCTCTGCTTCTACTTCACCAGACAGAGGATTCATAAGAACACCACTTTCGTCTCTCTACTCTTCAGTTTCTACTTCTCCTGATGGGTTATTCCGGAAGTTTCTCGATAGTTCGCCGCCGATTTGGAATGACTTTAGTCGGAATGTGAAGTCTGTTTTGCTCTCTCATACTGTGTCATCAAGAAGAGATTTTGTTATCAACATTGGTGAATCTTCTTCTCAACAGAGCAAAGTTCCTGCTCTTCCTCCTCCGACCAGACCACCTCCTCTTGTTCCACCGTCTCAACCCTTTATGGTTCAAAATGAAGTAAAAAAGCTATCTTTTTCCGACCAACCTCCCAAACAGCTGCCTTGGGAACGACTTAGATCTAGCTCTTTCAAGTAAGAGAAGCTAAAGTTTTATTCTTTATCTCTCTGTGTCTGTTATCTTGATAAGGGTTTTTATGTGACTGTGTGGCAGATTGAGCAAAGAGATGGTAGAGACTATGTTCATTGCAAACTCGTCAAATCCAAGAGATGTTCCGATTCTAAGTCAAGAAAGCAAAGTTTTAGATCCAAGAAAGGCTCAGAATATTGCTACTTTGCTTCAACTACTTAACTTAAGCACTAAGGATGTTTGTCAAGCTCTTCTTGATGGTAAATAATCTTAATTCATTGCCATTTGTCTTTTTTTGTAATGTTATTGATTTATGATCATTGAGTTATTGATTTAGGTGACTGTGATGTACTTGGAGCTGAACTTCTTGAGTGTTTATCAAGATTGGCACCTAGTAAAGAAGAAGAGAGGAAGTTGAAGAGCTTTAGTGATGATTCAGAGATTGGTCCAGCTGAGAGGTTTCTTAAGGAATTGCTTCATGTGCCTTTTGCGTTTAAGCGGGTTGATGCATTGCTCTTTGTGGCTAATTTCCAGACCGAGATCAAACGTCTCAGAAAATCCTTCAGTGTTGTTCAGGTAATGCTGAAGATTGCGGATTTACATATATGTGTCTGATGTTGTAAATTTTATGTCTCATAAGTTTATCTGCTTTTGTAGACTGCTTGTGAAGAACTAAGGAATAGTAGAATGTTTTCGATACTTCTGGAAGCTATACTGCAGACAGGAAACAAGATGAGTGTTAGAACAAACCGATGCGGTGATGCTCATGCTTCCAAACTCGACATGCTCCTCAAGCTCGTTGAGGTCAAGGGATTAGATGGAAGAAGCAGTCTCTTGCATTTCGTTGTTCAGGAAATGATAAAATCAGAAGGCAGTATGAGAGCTTTAGAAGGCATCAGAAACCTGAATTCAGAACTGAGCAATGTCAAGAAATCGGCAGACATTGAGTATGGTGTACTAAGAAGCGATGTCTGGAAGCTTTGTCAAGGGCTCAAGAACATCGAAGAGCTTTTGCTACTTAGCGAAGAGAGTGGTTCAAATGGAGATCAATGGCTGACGTTCAGGGAGAGAATGGCCCGATTCTTGAAAGCCGCTGCAGAGGAGATTGTGAAGATTAAAATACGAGAAAGTTCAACGCTCTCTGCATTGGAAGAGGTCACAGAGCAGTTCCACGGAGATTCTAACAAGGAAGGTCACACAATGAGGATCTTCATGATTGTGAGAGACTTCCTGTCTGTGCTAGACCAAGTGTGTAAGGAAATGGGAGACTGATTCCCATTGTAAGATTTTTAATGTAATGATTAGGAACGTATCTCTAGTTTCAGTATCTTGTAACCGGTATGACTAACGCCTATCTGGATAATTCTGTATGAGTTTTTGGAAGACAATTCATTAGGTTTTGATGCTATAACTTAGATTCTAGTTTTGATGCTTTAACATGTTTCCCTTAAGACATGCACAAATCAATGAGTTGCAAAAGTAAAGCCAAATCTTTGGCCATATTAGCAATTTGTTTAAATACAGTATCTATACGTATTGCTCTAATATAACCAAGGATTTGGCTTTACTTTAGATGCATCTACATTTCTAGTTAATTTGCGGTCAGAGGATAGGACCTGATCACGATCATGACTCGGTTGAGTCTTGTTAATGTAGATGCATCTAAACAAATCTTTGGTTATTACCGCAAATTAACTATCCTCTGACTACAATAGTAATGCACGATCTTGACTCGGTTGAGTCTTGCACATCTACATTTCTAGTTAATTTGTGGTCAGAGGATAGCACCAGATCAGCCAAGTGTTTTATAACACAGAAACACTATAGTTATTACCGCATAATTATGTCTTCGCTTATTATTTGCTTAAGTGTAAAGCTTCTGCATCCATGCGCTCGAGGATATGACGAGCTTCTTCCTCTGTAGCAGGAACTACATTTCGAAGCTTAAACCCATTGTTTCTGGCCTTTGCCTCGGGTCGTACAGTGAACTTGAAGTAGAATGTATTTGAAACCTACATCATATGCAACAGAGAAAGAGACATCAAATTGACATAATGAGCTTCAAATGCGATATGGTTAGAGAAAATTGGCATGAAGATGTATCTCTTCTAAAGAATCAGTAAGCAAATTCAACTTGAAACCATTATTTAAAAGAGCTTCCATCATCAAGTTTAGGATTTTACCTCACTGGAACGAATCTCTGGGCTTGTAACATGGGCAACAACTTCGATATTGATGAGCGGACAATCTAGTTTATCCAGTTGAGTGTAAAGAACACAGGATTTGAAACGTAAGAAATCACCAACATCCACCTGTCATGCAAGTCCATTCAGCATTAGTTATATACAGAAGACGGACATAAACAAGAAGAGGATAGTAAGCAGTGATTTGGATACAGACCGGTCTTAGGAAATCGACGTGATCAACTTCTAAGAAGTAAGGCACTAGACCCGCAAACGTATAAGCTGTGGAGAAGGCCAACTCAAATGCTCTATGCATCAAAAACCCTCCAAAGATCCTCCCATGGATGTTCCTCTGCTGCGGTTGACATATTAGCGAATTTTCAAGACGGGTATTTTTAAGAAGAATGCTGTTTCTGTCAGCAAGAGCTGGCATATCAGAGAAGATCCTTCCTTCGGCCAACCAAGCCTTGAGCTTCTTACACTCCCCGTGATCAAATTCCCTTCTGTCACCTCCTCTCTTCTTCTTCCTCAAGTTATTCCTAGCTTCAGCTTCCTCAAATAAAAGCTTTTCAACCTCGGTTTCAGGAGAAAGACGGTTAATAGGAGCAGCTTTACCAGTCTTCGAGTCACGCGCCACAAAAATGAAATTAGCAGTTAAAGCAACCGAATCCGAAGAAGCCTTGACATCTTCTGAAAACAACAACAACAAAACATAAGCAAGTGTTTTATAATTTCAGGACACATGCTTGTACGTTATATACATACTCAATTCGGATTGCATAACTTCGAGTTGAATCTCAATAGAAGAACGACCAACCCAAATGACAGAAGCAACAATCTTGAGATCAATGTCGACACAAATCGGCTTCTTCAATACAATCTTATGAACAGAAGCTGTAACAAGCAAGAGTGGCCTCGTTGTACTATCATCATCAGAACAATGCTGAATCACAATGTACACAAACATTCAAATACACAATAACATCACTAAACCTATACAGAATCCTGAAAAAGGATCAAACTTTAGGACTCAAATTGGTAAATCAAGATACCTTAACAGAGATAGTGCCGGCTAAAGCATCGAGATCTTCGAGCAAGATCCCAATACGGACCTCGTTCCAAGGATCTCTGTATTGTTCCCGGAGAATGAAATCAGAAGAGAAAGGGTAGAAAATGGTGGTACGGCTATGAGAAGGGGTTCTGGTGAGAAGCTGGCTCTGTGGTGGAGCGTCTTTAGGAGGATCAAGAAGTGATTCGAAGATTTTGGATCTGGCTTCCCATAAAGCTGTGGTGACAGGTGAGTGGTACATACCAGGCCATAAACTCAGAGGCTTCTTGGTTGAGTCACAAGGGGAGGATGGTGAAGCGAAGGTGGAGACGACGGAGATGGGTCTTGGGGAATTCATGGTTAGATGAAGAAAGTGAGAAGCTTTTTTTCTGGGTTTATGGAAATTGGGGAAGGTGAAAGAGAAGATGGTGAATCATTCAAAGGAAGGACATTGTTTGATTTTGGTTCCTTTGACTTTGGAGTTTTAGATTGTTTCTTTCTTTGAACATTTACTTTTGTGTTTTATAAGGTTAACTTAAAGAGTACCCTCTGTCTGATTCTCATCAAACATTCTTTCTTTTTTTTGCTTTTTTTTTTTTTTTTTTTCACAATTAACACTTTTTTTGGTTGAAGAATATTCAAGTGCAAATCCGGTATTGAGTATTTATATAATTGCTTTCAAGAAGTCTTTTAAATAAAATTTGAGAAGGTATGCATGTTGCTTAACCTTGTTAAAATTATGTTATTTTGTGGTTCTTCTACACTTGCAAATGTTTTTTTTTTTTTTTTTTTTTGCTAATACACTTGCAAATGTTATTGGAGTCTTTACCTAGCACAAGAAGATATTCGATTTTAGGGAAAATCGTGTGAAGAACATGGAAATGTGACTGACCTTCCTTGTGGTTCATAATTCATTGGTGTTGGATCCCCTAAGCTACGAACATTGGAAAATCAAGATGGTGGCTAAGATCATAGGGATTCATAAGAATGTTTAGACATCGCCACATCGGTTGAATCTGAGTAGGACAAAGTCTAAAACAGAATGGTGAAAACATAACTTAAAAGTGTCGAGATTCAGTGCTCTAGGCCTTACCATGGCATTTCCTCCCTTTTCTTATATCATAACAAAGCCTTTTAAAAAAGTCCAAACGAACAATAAGCACGAATATATAACTCAAATCAGTAACTAGATGAATTATGCTTTGAATGAAGGCAACGCTCCTTTCTATGGAGCAAGTAGAAAGAGGAGACATGAAAATGATCTTGATGGCCATAAACTGGTTTTTGGTCTTATGCATCTGCGACTTTCTTTTGTTCACGATTCTCGAAGAAGAGCCTTGAGCGGAGAAAATTTTGGTTCTCGTCAGGGACCTTGGTTGTACTGTTTAAGAACTGCTTGTACCATTTTCCAGAAGTTTTGAGGACTCTATCAGCAGTGGTATTAGTGAAATTAACGTAACTGAGTCCGTATCTCACGGTAAAGCCTTTGCCGAATTCATAATTATCTCCAAGAGACCAAGCAAAGTATCCTTTCACGTTGCAACCAGACTCCCTAAAAACAGGAACAATGTTTAAAAACAATCGGGTTGATCACACATGCATTTATATATAACAATTAAGTATAAGAAGATAGGAAGAAGAGTAGAATCCACTCACTTGATGGCCTTACGGAGAAAACATAGATGACTGCATATATAATCAGTCCGGTTGGAATCAACTATAACCTCATGGGCGGGTGTGTCACCACCGGGGCTATTATATCCTAGTTAGACCGTGGTAACATGAACAATTACACAATTGAGTCACTTTCTTTGACCGATTTTGACATAAACTAAAACTGTATAGAAGGAGAAACAATATATAGAGTGACTCACCGTTCTCGGTGATATAGACTAAAGGGTTTCCGTACTTAGTTTTGAAGTGGTCCAACACGTTTAAAATTCCTCTTGGATGGTAATAACTATCTCCAATGAACTATATAAGAAAGGGAAACATCAAACATAGATAAATACCAAAGTATATAAATATATATGTTATTTTGCTTAACAATGATTGAGACAATAAGGGTGGATCATGCAAGCATACCCATGGACCTATGGGACCATCTTTATTTTCATCTGTAAACACAACGATGAAGTAATGGATAGTCACGAAAGGTTGTAAATAAAAGGATATAGATATAAAGAAAGGTTGTAGAAATACAGTATTACATGAGTATGCTGAAAGTGAGTCATTTATGACGGTGAGTCTATTCGGAGGATTTTTGGGAATGGCATAGACGTATTGAGTTTGGTAATAGTTGATCCCAAGAAAATCATATGAACCCTTTACAAGTTTGGCTTCTTTTTATTGAACTTTGGAAGCCGTGGACCGACATATTTCCTCATGATTTTAGGGTATTTACCTTTTGTTAGCGGCTCCATGAACCTATATTGTGAACATATAATTCCTTAATAAGTTTCTATGTATGTATATCTGTTATTATTATTTTTGATATATAGAGATATATACCATCCCAAGAAGAATTCTTTGTTCCTCTCAGTTGCCTTTTTGTTGGCTTCAGTGCTATCATATGGAATAAACCATCTAGTTATCATCACAACTCCAATCTGTCCTCCTTGTTTTGGCTGTTGTCACGAATACATTGCATATAATTATGAAAAATTAGAATCATATATATGTTAAGAGTACATCTTTTTTAAATGGAGAACTCACCTTATATTTTTTCCGGTAAAGATGGACGACTTTTGCATGAGCAAGAAGCTGGTTATGTGCAACGATATAAGGTTCTCTTCCAGAATCTCCGGCGTAACAATCTTTATTAAGCCAATAAGAACATCGACCAGGTGCATCTGTTCCCATTGCATAGCCTCTTGTAGGCACTGTGTAGAGCTGGTTGATCGTGATCCAGTTCTTAACCCTATCACCAAATCTATCGAAACATATATCCGCGTAATCTTTGAAATCATCTCTGTACATATTATAGAATCATTTCGTTAATGCAACATCAAATCTTTATATATATTGTCATATTTCTTAAGAAGCAGTATGGCATCAATAACATACATGATATCGCGGTGCAAGAAACCTTCATACTCATCTTGCAGAACTTAGGAAGGTCCCAATGGAAGAGGGTAACGAAAGGAGTTATATTCTTCGCTAGGAGGCCATCTATGAGGTCGTTATAGTACTTAACCCCTGCTTCGTTGATTCCCCTCTTCTCCTTTCCAACCTTCTTCACCTTTCCAGCTGCTCATATATATCGTATATTTATTGTTAGAACAATCAAGTATACATTATATACATGGACCAATGTGTACTTACCCGGAATGATTCTTGACCACGCAAGCGAGAATCTATAGCCGTCAACACCGAGTTTGGTCATTACGTCTATATCTTTCTATAGTTATACAAACAATCGCATGTAAATCCACACGTACGTAGTTGATAAAATTACAGTGAGTGTATTAGTTTGTATATGGAGGAATTAACCTGCCAGTGCTCATATGATCCACAAGTGTTGTCTCCATTCCCTAGATCGGGTCCTCCTTTCTCTGATAGCGTACAAGGACATTACTATGAATGTATAAAGAGCTATAACGTACCGCCACTTCTCTCAAATTATATATATGTAAGTATATATCAACCATGCAAACGACAAACCTGGATATCGGTGAGTGAAGCCATCCCAAACGTTAAGTCCACGACCTTTAGCACCTTCGATCTAAAATGAAAAAAAAAAAAAATGCAACGTAAGATTTTAGTGTTTCTGAATGGTTTAATACGAAAAATTTGGGACAATAATTGATTTGTTACATGCCTGGTACGCAGAGGATGCAACACCGAAGATGAAGTCATCATCGAAATGTTTTCTGTTTAAACGACCAGTTTGGTTACATGTGAATGGCTTGGTCTCTTCGCACATAATCTCTTCAGCTTTGCAAGTCACCATCGCTAATAGAAGAACTAAGCCGAGTCCAAGAAGCTTCATAGTTGATATATGTAAATGTATGTTTTCAGTTGCATGGAAACCTAATGCGGTCTCAGTTAAGCTTAGAAAGAACAAGTTTTGTAGTTTTTGTAGAAAATTTAATCTTTGCTTTGTTCATTCGTTTTGGTTTCCTTAAATAGGAATTTTACATCACGGAATTAAAGAAATGGAATCATGGATTCCTACAAAAGTGTAAGTGAAAACGTGATCGAAGAACACTTGTTAATACTTCTATTATTGCCAACGAGGATTAAGCAAAAACAAAAAAAAAACAATGAATTGACTAAGTCTAATTAATTTGAATTTTGTTTTCTTGACCCCATCAATATATACACAGCCCTCTAGGAGAACCTTGTCTTCAGAGTTCAGATCAGAGAAGCTCTTCTTCTCCTTCCTCATTGCAACATACTTTCTGGTCTGTCTAATTTTTGACAGAGCTTTGTCCAAATCTTCATAGTCAGTGGTTCCAAATCGAGCTCATAGTCACACTTCAAAGATATCCCACGTGATGAATGTATTCTCCCCATCATACGTTTTCTTGAGAGCTTGCTACCACATTCGTTTGCTTCGTCTTCGAGATGGTAGCTCGCACATTGCATGTGGTGGTCGCTCGGCGTTAAATAAACAAAGAATTAACGGACCTAACTAAGCTAGGCGGTTGGATCTTCTTAACCGCGAAGACTCCAGCTTGATGTTCTTTGATTGGAACTTTACATGTGATTGGTATATATGTACGGTTAAGCATCTCGATTAGGCCATTGAGAGAAGCTTCAGCGTGTGAGAACTCCTCATTCACGCCAACTTGAATCTTTTGAAGTTCGTCTGTTCAACTGGATCTTTGTAGGCTTGTCGCTGGCAGCCATTTCAGAATGAGAGGTCCCATTCTGCCCACCCTAATAGTAGGTTCCATCATAATGACAATCGAGGTAACCCCTCAACATACCCCTCGTAGTGGCCGAAATCGACACATCCTCGTAACCATCTTTGTTATAAATGATTTGTTTTATTATTTCACTTGTAATAAATAATCACCTATTGATGACTATTGTTCATGACCAGAACCATCCACCAATCCACAAAAATTTATTCACCGATCTTTTCAACCAAATTATTGCTGCAAAAATTTTAAGAAGCAGCAAAGACGCAGTGGCAAAACCAAACCAGTGACTGTACTACACACCCAAAGCTCAGTACATAGTAATAAGAGAGTGCATCTAACAATATATCATATTACAACACACCATCGACCACGAGAACCCAAAAATAAAATAAAAACAATACTTACTTATACATTATATATATCTTTGGACTGCTACGACTAGAGATGTTTGTTTCACAAGTCCTACCCTTCCTCTTGATCAGCGAGCAACTATGAGCTCTTCGATGAAATCACCTTCACCTGATTCAGAAGGGATTAAGATATCATCATCAGCGGTGAAGTTGTAGCTCTCTCCAATTGCTCTCAGGAGCTGATAGACTTCAAACATGGTTGGTCTCTGCTTTGCTATTTCCGGTAGAACACAGTTGCATGCTACTTTAAGCACTTTGAAGATCTCATCATCCACACCGTTCCCGAGTAAGGACCTGTCGATTGCTTCTTGCAGTTTTGATTCACTTGATAGCTTTGTAATCCATTCCACAAGGTTACCCTTGAAGCTTTCTTCCTCGGCTTCTTCAGATACTTTTGTCACACTCGTTGCTTTTTGACCCGTTACTAGCTCTAGAAGCACAACCCCGAAGCTGTAAACATCTCCTTTCGGAGTTGCGACCATGGTTCTTGAATACTCGGGAGCAACATAACCGAAATCCCCAAATTCTCCATTGACGAATGTGCTTAAATGGGTATCAATTGGGTTCATCAGCCTAGCCAGGCCGAAATCCGAGATCTTGGGCTCGAATTCTGCAGTCAACAATATGCATTTTGAGCTTATGTTGCGATGGATGATTCTCGGGTTGCAGCTGTGATGAAGCCACGCCAATCCTTTTGCCGTCCCAATCGCGATTTTCAGCCTTGAAGGCCAATCCAAGGGCTTGAAGGATTCTTCATCTGCAGGATGTAACTGATCATAAAGGTATCCGTTTGCCATGTACTCGTACATTAGAAGCCTCTCCTTATTCGCAACACAATAGCCCAAGAGAGGGACTAAGTTTCTGTTTTTGACGGAGCCCAAAGTCTTCATCTCTGCGTCAAACTCTTTCTCAGAGCGTTGAGAATCCTGCAACCTCTTTATCATAAGCGGAGTCCCGTCTTCAAGCCTACCTTTGTACATAGTTCCTGTTCTTCCTGTTGCAATGATATTATCTTTCTTGAATTCCTCTGTTGCCTTCATAAGATCGCTTAATTTCATCTTTGAAACCGAGTTCTTAAACATGAAAACCTGAAAATTCACAAAACACCCAAACATATGTCATAAATTCAGAACATAACATATAGTATGCGTGTTATTAAATCAATGAGGTTTTTACCTTGACGCCTTTCTGTCCTTTCAAGCTCTTTGCCCATCTGTTTCCTTCAGGATCATCCTGCTTCTTCCGAACAACACCCAATTTACGGAAATAGAAGAACAAAACAACCCCAACGACTAATGCTGCCGCAGTCAATCCACCAACTGCCGCTATAATAACAACTTTACCACGAGAGCTAGAAGCACTCTTACAATCATCCAGAGGCTTACCACACAATCCCGGGTTATTATCAAAGTTCTCCGCCCCAAATTTCAAGGTTTGGTTGAAATTAGGGATAGGACCAACGAGAAGATTGTTAGCCACAGAGAACGTTTTGAGCCGTCCAAGCAGCACTAGCTCGGGAGGAAGAGTACCAGTGAACCGGTTATTCTGAAGCATAAGAGAGTTCAAGAAGGTAATGTTTGAGATACTAACAGGGATTTCACCAGAGAAACTATTGAAGGAGAGGTCCAAAGTAGTAACAAGTGGAATCACATCAGTAAGATTGGATGGTAAAGGTCCAGAAAAGTTGTTTCTAGAAAGCTCTAGACCAGTCAAGTCAGAACATTGCTTAATCCCAAGAGGAAACACTCCTCTAAGACCATAACCAGAGAGCTTAATACTCAAAACCCTATTCTCATCATCATGCCAACAAGTCACACCACTGAACTTGCAGATATAACCAGCAGTCTCGTTGCCAAAAACCCAACTCGATAAATATCCATTTGGATCCTCAACTTGAGATTTAAAGGTCCTCAAGCAATCTACGTTGGCTTGATTCGCATCGATCAAGGTACACAGTAGCAGCAAACAACAGAGACAATTCCACAGCCAAATTACAAATACTAACCTACCCATCATCATAAATCCCCCAAATTCCACAAAATGGGTAAAATCTCTATAAACTACAGAAACAAAATCAAGGGTTCTCTCCGATGAACATCAAAATCCTGTAAACAAATCACAAAATCAGAACTTTATTAGCAACAACGCAAATTGAAGATAAAGCGATCTTAAAATTGAGTTGACTCACAAAAAGTTACAAACTTTTTAGCAACTTACGAATCAAAATCAGAGATACAAAACAAAAGCTTTGGTCTTTATAGTCGTCGTCGTGGTGGTGCTCTTGTTCATAAGTGTTGAAGAACACAATGAAGAAGGAGAAGAAGAAGAAAATCGCATCTGTGGTTAAGTGATTATGAATGATGAAGAAGAAAGAACTTAGAATAATTTAATAAAGGAGTCTGTATTGGTGAGTGAGTTGACTCAGACTTTGGATCGTCGTCGTCGTGTTGTGAAAGTTCGTGAAGAATGGGGCAAAGAAAAGAGAGACACTGATGATGAGAACGCAATGACCCCAACAAAAACCAAATCGGTCTTTGCGCGTTAAATGTTTTTTTCTTTTCTTTCTTCTCTTTTTGACTTTTCAACATCATGTATCTTGTTTGTTATAGAGATGGACAAATTTTTCTTACATTTGGTATTTTTCGCTTTTTTATTCGGTTTATATAATTCTGGATATTTGTAACTGGTTTGGAGTTTTGACCAAATCAAAGAACAGACTATGATGATATTCATAAGAAATATAGTTATTCACTAACATCCAATATGTTACGATAGGATTCCAAGAAAAAAAAAATGTATGGGAAGTTGTGAGGTTTTGTGTTCTTGGTATAGTTTTTGACAAATACCAATGCATAGTAGTAATATGTATCTACAAAATTGAACATCATGTCACATATTTAAATACTTATTACTTATTACTTATTTTATTTAAATTGATGTTTAATGTTATTACATATAGATTAATCATTTAATTTTTGTTTTCTCTAAACAAAATTATGTATTGAAAAGCAGTTCAACCAACAGAAAAATAATCTATTGAATACAACATAGAAATATAGTTGATTTTGCATTTAATTTTGAATATATCAAATAAATTGAAATAAAATTTTCTTTTCCTTAAACATCAATTAATATGATATGGAGGAAATATCTGTTAGCCAAACTGTTGCATAACCTAGTTGTTTTCATGTTGGATAAAATTACTCAAAAATATATATGAAATACAAGTTAAAATGTCTCGACTAATGATTGATAAAGTTAGAAGGTGTCTCAAAAGGTGGAGAAGTAAAAAAAATTTGAACCTACTACACGGATTAGACGAAATTATTTTCATTAAGTAAAAACTTAACACTCCGTATTAATGTTAGGTTTAATTAATGTTGGCTCTACTTCAGCCGAGTCAATCAATGCTAAGTTTGAGATTTTTTGTTGTTGTTGGATTTTTTTTTTTTTTTTTGCTATGAATGTAATTATTTCATTAATAATGAAAAGAGTTAGGAATTACAATGAAGTAAAAATCTATAAATTGGTCTCATGACAAAAAGAGGAAAAAAAACATGGAAGCAAATAACAATCAGTCCATTGATAACGACAAAAACAGTGATGTTGTTGGAATCTTTAAATTCTGGTTTGTTAGTTAAAAAAGGGCATGTTCATTTAACAGATGCACCCGCCACGGCTAAACGAACACCCCAAACTGTCAATTTTTGTTGCTTATGTATTGTCAGTTTGTCACACAACGATTTTAGAAATTTTCTTTTCTAAATGTCATTTGTTTTGTAAACAGTTTACAACATACAACGCTCTAATATTTGTTATGACAGATTTTTTAAATTTGCCGGATGGATGAATTTATTCGTTGTTCGTGTTGGCATTTGGTGAGCACAAGTGAATTTAGCCGATAAAAGGTGAAATTCACTTGACTTCACACGACAGAATATTATTCATATTCCTTCGGCTGGTTGGTTGTAGTGCCGGCTCTGGATGAAACATGCACTACAGGAAAATGAAGCATCTGTAGCGCCCGAATAACGCTATATAACTCTACTGTAGCGTTTTAACAAGCGCTCTATCATCGCCCGTCATAATAGGTTGGAGACAAATTATAGCGGTTTTTTGTTATGCTACCAAAAAGTTCGTTATTACAGCGCTTTCTTTAACGCAATAATTATTAATGTAATAGCGCTTGATATTCGATATTAAATTGTATTATTGACAGCATATTTATTTTGCTACATATAAAATGACAATAGCAGTTATGAAACTGCAATTGTTTCAATTAATGGCATTTTTTTATGTGCAATATGTGACTAATCCATTTCCAGTTTCAATTCTGTTTTGATCAAATTATTTACAAATTAATATTATCTAAAACAGATTTTAAAAGACAAAATGAAATTTATATTTGATAACATGTCAATGTAAGTACTCAAATCACATGATCATGCCTTAGCAAGTACTGAATTCACCAAAATAACAAGATTATGTTTAGACATACATGATTTTATCATTAGGCAAAGACTTTGATCCAATATGTTTCAAGCAACAGTGGCTTTGCAGCAGACATTGATGACATCATCGAGAGATGGATGATCTCCAGTGCCTTCGTCTTTTCGACAAACGTACCTCCCTGAGAAGAAGATAGAACAAAGGATCAAACAAAAAATAACAGACAACTTTATCAATAAATTTTCTTGTCCTGTGAAGAACTCTAAACAAACAAAAAAACCTGTTGCAAAACACTGCTTCTGTCTTCAGGAGTAGCACTTATGGTGTAATTTTTTGTAGCTTCTTTTAACTCGTTAAATCTTGAGAACACCTTAGCCTGCAAAGAGCCAAGAATAGAAGTTTCTAACATGTTTCAAGGTGAAATAGTATAATACAATCAAGCAGTAAAATTTTTTTGAGGCGGTTCATACGCTAGCTGGGTTGAAGAAGGTGCGGCCTAACCCATAGTATAAACCAAGAACATCATATGCCTGCATATTCAAGAAAATCCCTCTCAATACTTCAAACACTATTTCAACAGAAAATATATCTTGAAGAAAATATATCTCGAAACAAGGTATTTTTGTATTATTAACCTCCAATAGCGAAGCTGCCCATCCAAATGCGCCCAAATTTATGCATTCCTTTGACCAACTAAGCAATCCAGAAGCAAGACCATAGAGCCCAGAAATATTCTGAGGTGAAATCTTCAGTGCTTGCTCAAATAGCTCCACACCCTATACAAATACCATATGAGACTTCTGGAGCCACACAAACAAACTTTCCAAAGAGGTCATTTTAAATAGACGCGGATACAAAGGTTACCTTTCTATACGAACCAAGCATCAAAAAGATATTTGCACTCTCCATTAATGCAAAAAATTTGGTCTCATCTAACTCAATGGCACGGCCATACGCCTGTTATATCATTGAGAAATAAGATCACAGTAAAAATCAACAATAAACCAAAACCACTCCAAGAAACTGGGCAACTAAAAAAAATAAAACAGCGATTATGACCTTGATAGCAGCAGTAAACATTCCAAGTCGCTGGTAAGCAAGGCCTAGAGCCTGCAATCACAGACAGACAAAAAGAATTCTTGTCAAATTCGTTAAGAGAATCAATGTAACGAAATTATAATAACTAGAGAAACAAGGGAAAAGGACAATTACTTCCCACAAGTCAGACATGGTAGGATAACCTCTAATTGCATGTTGAAGGCTTTGAACAGCTTCAGACCACTTCTTCTGATGAAGCTGTGATAGAATCCATAACCATAGATCAGCCAGAGCAAGACAATAAAGACAGATTGCAGGAACAGAGAAGGCCAATTGAACAAAACTTGAATATAACCCAATCTGCAAAATGCCCAGAAAGCCTTAGGAGACTTCTCAGAAGCGTCACGACAAACCGCAATTTCCAAAATCTCTTTCCCAGAATAAATCGCACAAAGCTTCTCCAGAATCAGAATCATTAGGGTTTATCAACACTGCTCTTTGGTAACACTTAGCAGCTCGATTAAGATCAAGCGTCACACGCGAGTAGTAATGCCCTAAATACTTAAACGCCACCGCATTATTCGGGTCTGATTTCGCCGACAACACAAAGTGCTCCGCCGCTTTCTCTGAATCTCCTCCATTATTCCACAGATACAAACCCTGCAATCAAATCAAAAATCCAATTTTTTTTCCATTAGCAGAAGATACAAAGAGAACCCATAAAAAGGAACTAAAATCATAATCGGAAAACAATTTACGAGTTCGAATTGTAGAGAAGAATCATCTGGGTTCTCCTCTACAGACTTCTTAAGTTGCTCCAATTCCATCCCCCACCGTCGTCTTCCTCAATGATTTAGAGCGAATTTAGAGTGAAAGATCAAAGATTTGGAAACCAGGAGAGAATAATGGAGAACAGTGAAGAGTCGAGTCTCTGTGCCGGCAAATTTTGCGTTTTTCCCCACGATTTTTTTTTCTAAGAGGCGGGCACTTTTTAATGATTACCCGCTTATAGATTACATAGCGTTTAATCTAAAATAGTGCTATCAAATATTAAACCTAAATGCAAAAACATTGACCCGCGTCCTTTTATTTCTCCGAGTAATAAAGTATAGCGTTTAAAATTTACCAAACGCTATAACATATTACGGTGTTTGTCAATCATAGCAAAACAACGTTAATTGCTATATTCTTATGCTATAAATGCGTCATATTCTTGTAGTGATGTGCTTTCGGCCTTCAAATCTATATTGATTTAATTGGCTGATTTATTTTGTGTATGGTTCCTAAAAGCTGCAAATTACAAAATCTCAAGGGCATGGGTTTGAATATCATCAATTTTTGGTTAGAGATAGACAACTTATCTTTTAAACAATTTTGGAAATTTGTAATGGTTTAGAGCAAAACAGTTGTGGATGTCATTTCGTACGTGAGCATTTATCGCCTTATCGGCTTCTTTTGAACAATAGCCTCTCTACAGAAATAGAAGAACAAAACAATCCCAAAATAATCCCAACGACAAATGCTGCCACAGTAAATCCACCTAGTGCCGCTATAATAACAACTTTACCTCTAGAAGCACTCTTACATTCATCCAGAGGCTTACCACACAAACCCGAGTTATTAGCAAAATTCTCTGAGTTAATGCTGGTGCTGTTGAAAGTTGGGATAGGACCTGAGAGACGATTGTTAGCCACAGAGAACGTTTTGAGCCGTCCAAGTTTCACTAGCTCGGGAGGTAGCTGACCCGTGAACTGGTTATTCTGAAGCATAAGAGAGTTCAAAAAGGTAATGTTTGCGATATTGACAGGGATTCCACCAGTGAAACTATTGAAGGAGAGGTCCAAAGTTGTAACAAGTGGAATCACATCTGTAAGGTTTGATGGTAAAGGCCCAGAGAAATTGTTTCTAGAAAGATCTAAACCTGACAAATCAATACATTGCTTAATCCCAAGAGGAAACACTCCTCTAAGACCATAACCAGAGAGCTTAATACTCAAAACCCTATTCTCATCATCATGCCAACAAGTCACACCACTGAACTTGCAGATAAAACCTGCTTCTGTCTGGTTCCCAGAATTCCAACTCCATAAATATCCATTTGGATCCTCAACTTGAGATTTAAAGGTCCTCAAGCAATCTACGTTGGCCTGATTCGCATCTATCATGGTACACAGTAGCAGCAAACAACAGAGACAATTCCACAGCCAAATTGCAAAGACTAGCCTACTACCCACCACCATCATATACCCTGGAACCAAATAATCACATAATTAATCAGAAATTATAAATAGCAACAACGAAACTGGATATTCTTCACATAAAAATGAAGAGTGAGTTGACTTAAAAACTAATGATAATAACTCACGAAAATTTGCAGGAAATTCTAAGGAACTCACAAACCAAAATCAGAAATTCTTAGTCGTTGCGTGGTGATCTTGTCTTGTGCATGAGTGTTGAGTAAATTCTGTTAGAGTGTTTATGAATGATGAAAGGATTTTGAATGATATAATAAAAAATTGAAATGAGTGTCGTCTGGTGTATAGACTTGGATGGTCGTTGCCTTGTCGAAGAATCAAAGTTCGTGTAGAATGGTGTAAACACAGACTGATGAAGTGATGTGTGATGAGACCAATGCAATGACTCAAACCACATTGGTCTTTGCGTGTTAAATGTTTTTTTTTTTTTTTTTGCCAATATTGCGTGTTAAATGTTTATTTCATCTTTTTTTCTTTTGACTTTTCAACATCATGTCATCAAATTGTTTTGGAAATGGAACAATTTGGTACGTGGCTTTTTAAATCGTTTTAAATAATTCATTTATCATATTTTCATATGAAAATATTATATTAATTAACTACCAAAAAGACAGGTTTATTTACAATATGATACTCCCTCCGTTTCATAATATAAGGCATTTTGGAAAAAGTTTTTTTGTTTCACAATATAAGTCGTTTTCGAGTTTCGATGCAAATTATATATTAATTTAATATTTTATGATTATTTATCTTGTGCAGTCTCTTTTATGATTGGTTAAACTTTTTTTAAAGTTGATATTCTTAATCAGCGTGCTTTCATCTAAAACGACTTATATTATGAAACGGAGGGAGTAGGTTATGGATTCCCATTACCTTCATTAAGAAGAAGAAAGAAGCTGGTGTTGACTAAGTGTCGAAGAAGGAGACAAGGAAGAAAGACTCTAGTTGTGAGAGAGGGTCTTAGCTATTATCCTTATTTTAGAACTATGTCGTTTTAGGCTTGTTGGTGTATTTAAGCACTGATTCCGCATTATTGTGAGAGAGGGTCTTAGCTATTATCCTTATTTTAGAACAATTATCTTATCAAATCAAATTCTCTCTTATCTCTTCCTCTCCGCCATTAACGGCGCAATACTTCTCTCCCTCCTTTTCTTTCTGTTCTATTCAACTTCGATAAGCTTCGGAACTTATCACAATAAATGGAAATAAGCTTGAAAACAAAAAAGAAAACCAAAACCAAAATTATCAAACTCTTTTAGCTTGAAATCACTTGTTTTTTATATAACTCAGGTGATTTTAAAAGTTTTCTAGGTCCAAAGACTAATCTTAGGGCCCGAGGAAACCATGTTAAATTGCTCGAACCTCAGTGGCCAATGCTACTCGAACCCAGGTAGTGGAAATTACCTCTCTATACCATTGGACGAAGGCGACTTGATTTGAAATCACATTTGTAAGAAGATTCGGAGACTAGTGGATTTTTAGTAGAGAATGGAAACTACCCTATTGCAAATCGCTCTCTCAATGACTCGAAAAAGGTGGCTAGTCGAATGGTAGATATGGTTATGTTTTCTCTCATTACGTTCACGCCAAATGTAACATATCGTCGTTTAGAAAACCAATGGAAGCAAAATGAAGGTGAGTTTATCATAGTGAGGATATGTGATACTCTAAAGTGTAATCTCCAAATCCGGATAAACTTCCTCATCCTAAAATCACCCACAAAATCCAATCAGATCGTGTAAGTATAAGGGCAAACCAAAAAAGATGATCACATTTCACATGACTCATCCGGTTCAACTCAGAAGATACAAGGCTTGACACATCCCAACAGTCGCGTATGAGTTCCAGTTGAGAGCCTATCCTTGATCGCTAACCAAACTATATTTTCTCTTGGTGTAGTCTTTGACAAATACCAGTGTATAACCAAACTATATTTTCATTGTTGCTCTTATTAATATATATATATATATATATATATATATATAAATTTTGCATTCGAAAAATTTACACATATATATTTAATATCAACCAACGATACAGATGAAGTGGGGGAGAGAAAGAGGATGCTTCAGGTTTCTGGTTCTTCTGGTAATTCAGATAAAAAACGACGTGACGACTTATTCATGTGTGAACGACGTATAGAAATCTCGAATCTCTTCGAAAGAATCATCGTTACTCTACCGAGAGGAATCGCCGCCGAAAAGACAGTAGTTGTGGTGATTAAATCTAAGCCGTCCATTGACTATAGCTGAATTAAAAACGTTGATCAAGAATCTGACACCATCAACCTCTTTATCTTCTCTAAGAAAAACATTGACTTAATTTTCACCGATCTCCGCCTCCACCGTTGTCCTTATCGGCTGGTTGGATACTTTTTTAACTTCTAGAAATGTTTGATTGTTTGTTTTAGTTATTTCCGTTGAAAGTTAAACTTGATTTTGAATCAAGTTTAATTATTGGATCAATTACCCAATAATCATCTGATGGGTCAAATCCAAGTTCTAGAGTTTTTTCTAGAAATATCATCATCTCCACCTCCTTAAACATAATAGTCTAGATATTTTTATAGAATAATCTAGATAATTGTATTATTATAATCTAGATATTATGATGGAATAATCTAGATTTAGGATTAAAATATTTTAGATATTTTGTAGTTTGGAGGCTATAAATACCTCCTCCGTCTCTCATTTGTTGCAATGTTGTGAAGTTGTCTTCAAGTTAAAGATCAAAGTAATAAAAGTTCTATTTCCTAAAACTCTCTCTCAAATACTTAAACACTTTCTCAATTACCTCTAAAAGAATTTTACTCTAACAATTTCTTACCAAAATAAATGTTGTATGTGACAAGTAAATAATTAAAAATGTTTTGAACATCAAACGTCAGCATTGTTCACTAAAAACCCTTATCAATATGAAAATAAGTTTACAAAAATTAAGTTAATAAGCAAAACATAACTAAAAGTAAATTGTGAGGGATACTAACTTGTTACATCCATTCAATGAGAATGGACTTGTTGATTTGGTGTTTTTATCATCTTTGAACATAGTTTAGAAGAAGCTCATAGTTTCATGATGAGATAATATCAGTCTATGAAAGAATGTGCAATCTAATGAGAATGGACTTGTTGATTTGGTGTTTTTATCATCTTTGAACATAGTTTAGAAGAAGCTCATAATTTCATGATGAAATAATATCAGTCTATGAAAGAATGTGCAATCTAGTTTTTCTCCATTATAACATGGCCTCAAGCATGAAGCCAAGCTTAAAGATTGGGTGTTTGGTAAAGAAGTTAAGGAATTTAAAGAGTGATACACATAGATGTTGAAGATACCAATTAAAAGAAAAAAATAAAGGAGGAAAGAGTAAATTACAAGTTCCCGGCAGCTTCAGACAAACTCACGTGACACAACTTTAAAAGGATTTGACTAGAGCCACTTAAGTCGTCTGGTCCGAACCAGAAGATAGTGAAGAAGGAGCCATCAAACCACACCAGTGCTCTCACGTGCTTACTAGACTCAAGTAAAATTGGGTGTGCTTAATAAAGTGTCTGTTATATAAATCACTTTGCTTTTTTGATTGCCTCTCTTCTACTTTCCTCTTTCCTTTTTAGGGATTTCACTTTCCTCTTCTCTCTCTCTCTTTCTCTCTGCCTAACCTCGAATTCTCTCGATCGCTCTTCACCATGGATCTACGATCTTCTGGTGCTTCTTGAAGTTTTTTGATCTCTTCTTTTTAGGGATTTTTACTTCTTCTGATTTTCCGGGTAAAGTTTGTTTCTTTTTTCTCTTGAGGTTTATACTTTTTTGTTGTGCTCTTGTTTCGAGTTCGAGTTCGTCTTCACTGTAGCTAGGGTTTCTTGATTTCTCCATGAATAGCTCAAAATTTCTGCTATGACTTTGAATTTTGCTCTTGGGTTATGGATTGAGTAGGAATTTCACAGAATCAGTGAATCAATCAGCTAGCTTTTTTCCTCTCCCATTTCGTCATCTACTGTTTTCTTAATCTGATATTTTTCTTGAATTGGTAGAATTTTTTGGGGGTTTCTTGTTTGTTTGTCTTTACTTGCCTTGTAGGCCATTTTCTTACATAGTTGTCTACTATGACTTGTACTGTTTTGTTCACTGAGCTGTTTTGTTTTTATCTTCAACGAGTGAAATTTTCATTGGATAGTTTTGACTGATCTTTGTTTCTCTGTTTTTGATGATTTATTTTTGTAGTTGTTTGTCGTTTGGGATTTCGTGGAGCTTTACTTGCAGCTTGGAGATTGGACTTGTTTGAATTGGTAACAACATTTTGTGTTTAAAGTTTTATATTTTATTCTTCATGTGTGATTATTATGCAGTATTAACATTGTCTCTGGCCTCTAATGTCGTTAATTTTTGTTTTTATTTGTTTGAGACTATTTAATTCGTACTTAAATTTCCATTTTGTTTAGCTCTTTTGTGATGGAGGATACACGGTCAGTTGCTTCGCTCATGGACTCTACATCATCTAAGATTCAGCAGCTTCAGAAGGCGTTTGCTGAACTTGAAAGTCAGCGTGCTGTAACGCTTAATCTGAAGTGGAAGGAACTTGAGGAGCATTTTCATGGGCTTGAGAGGTCTTTGAAGAGACGGTTTCATGAGCTTGAAGATCAAGAAAAAGAGTATGAAACCAAAACAAGGAAAGCTCAAGAACTGTTGGAGAAAAAGAAGGCAGCTGTTGAGGCTAAGGAGAAGGCGTCGCTTGAAAGGCTTCAGAAGAAGAGAGATGCAGCTATGTTTACTATAAACAGTGCTTTAGATAAGTACAATAACGCTCCCATCAGTAAACCTTCTGTTGGTGAACGTTGGCCACAAAATCCTTTGGGGGATTCATCCAATGCCTTTGCTGCTGATGGTATTACCGATGATAATCCGGATGGAACTGTGCAAGATGTTCAGATCTCACCTGTGATGGGGAATTTTGAGGTGAAGGCTTATCCACAGTTACTGAAACTGTGCGGGGATATGGACTCAGCAGGGCTCCATAAGTTTGTATCAGATAACCGCAAGAACCTTGCATCACTAAAGGAGGAGATTCCTATGGCGTTCAGGGCTGCAGCAAACCCAGCCAGCTTAGTGTTGGACTCTTTGGAAGGGTTTTACCCCATGGAGGCACCAACCGCTGATGGAAAGAAAGACGCTAACCTCTTGGGCATGCGCAGGACCTGTATCATGTTGATGGAGTGCCTTAGCATACTGTTATCTGGTCTGGACCCCAACTCCCTTGCTGCTGTTCTCTCACAGAATGTTAAGCGTAGAGCCAAAAGTATTGCAGAAGGATGGAATCCACTGCTGGAGTCTCTTGACATGGATGCTTGCAATGGTAATTCTTTGGAGGCTCATGCATTCCTGCAACTGCTGGCCACTTTTGCTATTGTTGGTGACTTTAAAGAAGATGAACTCTTAAAGCTGATCCCCATGGTTTCACGTCGCCGTCAAGCAGCGGAGCTCTGCCGTTCACTTGGATTAGCTGAAAAAATGCCTGGTTTGTTCTCTAATTTTCAGGATATGGCTGATTATCTTTACATGCTATGACATTTTTATGAGAAGCTTGGACTTGATATTTGGTATTTAGTGAATAGCTGGATAGGGTCTCTGGTCAAGGACATAAACATGACATGGCTTTATACGTTTTGACATTTTAAATTCTCCACCTTCACCATTCATCTTAATCTTTGATTTCACTGCTCCTATTATCCCAGGTGTGATTGAAGTTCTCGTGAACAGTGGAAAACAGATTGATGCGGTTAATTTGGCATTTGCGTTTGAACTCACAGAACAGTTCTCACCTGTCTCATTACTGAAATCTTACTTGACTGAGGCAAGGAGATCTTCCACCCAAGGCAGACCTGGCAATGCATCTCCTGCTGTTCAGGCAAGTGTTCCCTGACTTGATAACTTGCATTATTCATTACTTGTAAGAGAAAATGAAGGGCTATGTTAATGCATGTTACCTATAACAAGTGGTTTGATCTTTTCATGAACTATTGTTACATTTTCTCGAGCATCTGGCTCTTTGGCGGCAAGTAAATCACCTCACTTGAACATCTCCAAGCTGTGTTCAGTTGCTATATTGTTTACTCAAGACTTTCTTAAAGCCTTTGAAACTTAAAACCAATGCATTCATTATCAATTACTTTAGGCTATTACGTATATAGTACTTGATGAATGCAAGATTTAGGCGCATATTATCATAATAATTATGTGTACCAATGCAGGATGAGTTCAATGAGCGAGAGCTTACAGGGCTCAAAACCGTGATAAAGTGTATTGAAGAGCATAACCTGGAAGAGCAGTACCCAGCTGAGCCACTTCACAAACGGATTCTCCAGCTCGAGAAAGCCAAAGCAGACAAAAAGAGAGCAACAGAACCCACAAAACCTCAACCAAAACGACCACGTGGTGCTCAACCCCGAGTCCCCGACAACAACAACAACAACAACAACATCAAGACAGGATACGGTAGAGTCATCCCTGAAAGGTATCCACAGTATGTGTATGACAACAGACCATTCCTTAGCGGTCCAATCATGGCAGCACAAGCTCCACCACCTCCTCCTCCTCAGACTTACACGTTCAGTCCCGCTCCTGCACACGGGAACTTCTACGGAAACTGCTATCAGTACCAGGCACCTCCTCCTGCTTACTTCCACTAGTGATAAAAAAAGGTGAATGGTGAAATGTGACTGTGACTCTGTGACTCCCCCTTTGGTTGTTAACTTGTGGCAGCTCTTTTTAACTCCTCTCTCCTTTTAGTTCTTTCCCTTTTGATGTTGTTGTTGTGTACGGATGATTTTAGTATTTTTAAGGATCAACCCTACTCAAAACAAATATACTCAGATTTTCTATTAATTATATCTTAATGTTGTATTATTATTATTTTTTTTCCTTTAACCATCACAAGAGGTAAAATTACAATACTAACCCCCATTTTTGAATTTCGAAAATATCTAATTCTCTCAGTCCTACGAAATTTCCAATTCTCTCGCTCTCTGATATCTCCCGCCAACAATCGAAATGAGAATCGCCGAGATCACAACGCCGGACCTCCGATTACATCACCGGGAAACCGAATCTCACACTCACCATCCTCTTCTCTCCGAGATCGAGCTTTTGATTCAACAATCTGAAGCCATTTCCAAAAATCAGCCGCTACCTCAATCTCTCCCTATTTCTCTAAGACAATCCCTAACTCGGCTGAGTCAACTCGCTCCTTTTCCCGATAACACCTTCAAGCTCACTATATGGAAGCTCAGCTTTCGTCTCTGGAACGCTTGTGTTGATCTCTCTAACGCCGCCTCTCTACAATCCTCTTCAACCTCCGCTGAGAGCATCGCGAATCTCAGACATGTTGCCGCCGATATGCTATTTCTCGCTAAGGATGTTACCGGAGTTCCATCTCCGACGATTAAGTCTTCTCTCTTCTACTATCGGACTGGTCTCGTTTATCACAGTCTCAAGAAATTCGATCTCGCCTCCGATTGCTTTGAGAGAGCAACCGAAATCGTTTCGAAAATTGATATCGCAAAAATTTCCGATGCCGGAGAAAAGAAACTGTTTCTGGATCTAAACCTAGCTAGATCTCGAACTGCCTGGGAAATTTCTGATAGGAATTTAGCTGTGACGTTGCTCAATCGAGCGAAGAATATGTTGTTTGGTTCACCGGATCATTACAAATCGCTCTCAAATCAATTCCTTGCGTTTGGTAAAAGCTCTTTGTCTAGAGATGACGATGATTGCAGCCTAAATGATGCTCTTAGGCTAATGAATGAAGCATTGGATCTATGTGAGAAGGGATTAGGTACAGCAAAAACTCGGGAAGATACTATGGAGTTCACGGCCATGAGAATCAAAACTCTGCGTTTCATATCAGCAGTGCATTTGCAGAAGGGAGAGTACGAAAATGTGATTAAATGTGTGAAAGTTCTTAGGAATGGAGGAAATGGTAGTGATGGAGCTGATCAACATGCTTCATTACCTGTGTTGGCGATGAAGGCTTGGTTAGGGCTTGGGAGACATAGTGAGGCAGAGAAGGAGCTGAGAGGTATGGTGGGAAACAATGACATTCCAGAGGCAGTGTGGGTATCTGCTGTGGAAGCATATTTTGAGGTGGTGGGAACTGCTGGAGCAGAAACTGCAAAGGGTGTGTTCTTAGGTTTGCTGGGAAGGTGTCATGTTAGTGCAAAGGCGGCGCTTAGAGTGGCTCATCGGGTGCTTGGTGAGAGTAGGGGAGGTGATAATGGTTCGAGAATTAGGGCAAATGTTGTGGCTCAGCTCGTATCAGACGAGAGAGTTGTTGCTCTCTTTGCTGGTGAAGCAGTGACCAAGGAGAGGAAGGCAATACATTCTGTTCTCTGGAACAGGTATGTTTATTCCATTCAACTTTCATGTCCCTTAGTTACATTGGTGTGTCATATTTATTGCATCTTAGTTTACTGAGTGTTTCAGGTTGGTTACAGTGATTGATAGGTTTCTGGTGTTGTTATCTTGAGTAGATTTCCTGGGGATCTAATATGGGTATCTTCTGCTGTTTACAGTGCTTCAGATCATTTCCGTGCTAAAGATTATGAGACAAGCGCAGAGATGTTTGAGAAATCAATGCTCTATATTCCACATGATATAGAAAATAGAGTTTTCAGGGCCAAAGGCTTCAGGGTTTTGTGTCTTTGCTACCTCGGGCTCTCTCAGCTGGATCGAGCTCTTGAATACATAGAAGAAGCTGAAAAGGTACACATTTATCTGTGCAAATTTTATGTCCAATGGTTCTCCTAGTTGGATCTTTCAACTCAGAATTACTAACTCGTTTCCTTTCTCTGCAGCTTGAGCCCAATATTGCTTGCTCTTTTCTTAAGGTACACTGTCTTTTTTTCCCAACAGTTTGCGCTTTTTCAAAATATGGCCTTCGACTACCTTGCCATTTGAGATTGTTTTGCAAAAACCCTTTTAAGCCTTCTCTTAATTTGCTTCTAATTCTTGCAGTTCAAGATCTACCTGCAAAAGAAGGATCACAGTTGTGCCATTGGTCAGATTGATGCAATGACGTCCTGCCTTGATTTTTCTCCAGATTATCTGTCCCTTTCAGCGCATGAAGCTATCTCTTGCCAAGCGCTTCCAGTTGCTGTTGCTTCTCTTTCCAAGTTTCTCGGTTTCTATATATCAGGAAAAACCATGCCAACCACAGAGGTTGTGGTCTTTCGTACCTTAGTCACGATATTGACTCAAGACATTGGCAGTGAAACCGAAGCTCTCGATTTTATGTTGCAAGCTCAGAGCAGGGCAGCTAAGCTTGGGACAGAGTGTTTCTTTGGATCAGGAGAAACTGGAAAGCGAGAACAGAACTGGTTTGCTGTGACTTGTTGGAATCTTGGGTCAAGGTGTGGGAACGCAAAGAAATATGAGCTCTGTGGTGAATTCTTGAGGCTGGCATCGGAATTTTACAGCTATATGGATACTGATGAGTCTGGAGAAAACAAAATGATGATTTGCAGGTCCATAATACTAAGTGTCACCGCCATGATTGCTTTGGAGAAGCAAAACAAGAGCGCAATGACTGAAAGCCAAGTGAAAGTTGCTGCAGAATTGCTCGTGAGAGCAGGAAAGGTCTTATCCTCCTCTTTATTAGTATTACCTGCTGAGTTTTATCTTTCAGTTTCACTGATGTTTGGTTAGATATATGCAGATTATGTCTTCTTCGCTCTCGGATGGAAAAGATTGTATCATGGAGCCAGAACTCATCTTCATGTACACCTTAGTTGCCTATGACATACACGGAAGGCTCAACAACTCAGCATTCCAGTTACTTGTGGTGAAGACGTTTGCTGGTTCCAAGTCTTGTCATTACAATTATCTTCTCCAACTTGGAATTTTCGCCTCTCAAAGCCCTCAGTCCAACCCGGACGTGTCAACATTTGCTCTTAACGAATGCCTATCTGCACTGATCGCATCCGCATCACCAGATTACCCAACCATAGCTCTCATAATCAGGAAGCTGATCTCCATATCCAGCGTCCACAAAGGCGATACAGAGGATGAAGAAGCAATCCAAAAGATGTACAAACAGGCATACAGAATCATGGTTGGGTTAAAGGAAGGGGAATACCCGACTGAAGAAGGGAAATGGCTCGCAATGACAGCTTGGAACCGAGCAGCATTGCCCGTGAGGCTAGGACAGTTAGAGACCGCTAAAAAATGGCTGAGCATCGGTTTGGAAATCGCTGAGAAGGTTACAGGTATGGATACTTATAAAGCTTGTATGCAGGATTACTTGGCTAGTTTTCAGACCAAAGTTTCTTCTGCATAGTGTCTTTCATATTAACTGTCTACATAGTTTAAATGTCCATGAAATAAATCTGAGATATAGAATTGTTGAAGATGTTTAGTTAATATATAGTCGACACCAAATCCACTAGAAAAACTTATTAAAACATGTATTACAACTATTTATCTAATCGGGATTATTAGATCCTAAACATCCATCTAAGTCTGATTAGGTTGTTTTCCTAGCATCTACCAAACATTTTCTGCTCTAAGATCATGACATTCATCTCTCATGGGAGTTATGCAAATCTTACTGAGATCAAAATTCATTCACCGAATTCACTTAGTTTTAGGTGGAGGCCTAATCTTAGAAGGACATAGGATCTTGACCAAGTTTGATCAAATGAGATCGTTTACTATTGAGATGAGACGACTTCACCATTTTCTTCTACAGTACTTCCAGAATTATATCGTTGACCGTCTAATTTATATAATCCTTACACTAAGTAGTTGCTGAATAGTTCTAGTCGGCAGAGGTTAATATTATCCAAAAGCTATGGGGTTACGCAAGAAAACTAGATTAACACTTCAATGACAAAGGAAAAAAAAAAACACATTTATTTTTACGACCGTTGAAATTGTTTTCTTTTGCTTAAAATTGGTCTGTCGACAAATTTTGTCCAATTGAAACCTTCTTTTTTGCATATTTTCTTTCATACTTTCGTCACTAAACATTATATAGTATGATTTGAGAGAAAAGATAGAGTAGCTCAAACAGAGTTTCCTTTTACAATTCTAATCCGTTGACTAATGTTGTTCTCCTGAAATCCGTCAACTTGGAACTTTTCATCTAATTTACAGATTTCTAATTACTTTTATATTATATTTCAAATTTTCAATTGAATAGTGGAAAAATGAAACACGCTATGGGGTTGGCTAAAAGCCTATAACCGATAACTGTATATAAATTATTGTAACTATACTATAGTAAGTAGTAACCACCAAACGTGGGATTTCTCCTTTCTCTGTTGTTGGAAAGTTTCATAATGGAGAAGAGATTTTGTATTCAAAACTCACTTCTGCTCTCATTTCTTCTTGGTCTGCTTCTCTTCATCTCCAACTGTTTTGCTTCAAGTCAAAACGCTGGCGTTGATGAACAAGTTCGGGTTCGGGTCAGGGTAGGGTTGGTTTTGGATTTGGGTTCCGTGGAAGGGAAGATAGTGAGAAGCTCTGTTTCTGTGGCACTTTCCGATTTCTACGCCATTCACAATGATTACAAAACAAGAGTCTCTCTCTCAGTCAGAAACTCTCATGGAGAGCCTCTTCTTACTCTCTCTTCTGGTACATACTCCATTAATCTACATAAACTCTTTTCTTCTCTGTCTCCATTCACAGTCTCAATCTTGGTGTCTTATCTTTTGTGAATGAAACAGCTGTAGATCTATTGCAAACTGAAGGAGTAGAAGCGATTATTGGCGGGAATTCGTTGTTGGAAGCAAAGCTTTTAGGGGAACTTGGAGAGAAAGCTAGGGTTCCTATGATTTCACTTGACTCTCCTATTTCATGTTCATTGAGTAAATACAGTCACTTGATCCAAGCCACACATGATTCTGCCTCAGAGGCTAAGGGGATTACATCTTTTATTAATGGGTTTGATTGGAACAGTGTTGCTCTTGTTTATGAAGATCATGATGATTGGAAAGAGACTATGCAACTCCTTGTGGACCATTTCCATGAGAACAATATTCGTATAAAGTCCAAGATTGGTTTTACTGTCTCTTCGAGTGAGAATTCTATGATGGATCGGTTACGGAAGCTTAACGCCTTGGGAACAACTGTCTTTGTTGTTCACTTGTCGAAAGTTATGGCAACTTATCTCTTCCCATGTGCTGAGAAATTAGGGATGATGGGTGAAGGGTTTGCTTGGATTCTCACTACCAAAAGCATGAACAGTTTTCTTGAGTCCATTGATGATTTCGCAAAGGAGGCAATGGAAGGTGTGGTTGGTTTCAAATCTTACATTCCAATGTCAAAAGAGCTTCACAATTTCACTTTGAGGTGGAGAAAATCACTGCATGTTGAAGAAGTTATTGGGACTGAGATTACTCGGTTGAGCATCTCTGGTATTTGGGCTCACGATATCGCTTGGGCTCTGGCGAATGCAGCGGAAGTTATAAGGATGCCAAATGTAACATCAACTCTCCTTGAGGCAATCACGGAGAGTAAATTTAAAGGTTTGAGTGGTGACTTCCAATTAGATGATAGGAAGTTGTTATCAGACAAGTTTGAGATTGTAAATATGATAGGATCAGGTGAGAGAAGGATAGGATTCTGGAATTTTAATGGTAGTTTTAGCAATAGAAGACATTTATCATCTACTCATAACAATCTTGAGACCATAATCTGGCCTGGTGGCTCTACTCAAAGTCCAAAAGGGAGTAGTCTAAAACAGAGCGATAGAAAAAAGCTGAGGGTTTTGGTTACGTCTAGCAATAGATTCCCAAGACTGGTGAATGTAACAACTGACCCAGTAACACATGATATAACAAATGTCGATGGGTTCTGTATAGAAGTCTTCAATGCTTCCATTGCACCTTTTAACTATGAAGTGGAGTACATACGTTGGCGCAATGGAAGTAACTACGACAATCTTGCATATGCACTTAATAGCCAGGTACTAACCATGGCTCAATTTACGATTAGAAGTACTTTTCATCTATATAGAGTATGGAAACTAAACCAATATTTTAAAAATTATATGTTGCATCCCACAGAAAGACAAATATGATGCGGCAGTGGGAGATATTACTATCACTTGGAATAGATCGACGTACGTTGATTTCACGTTGCCATTCACCGAAATGGGTCTTGGAATTGTAGCACTTAAGGAGAGAAGTATGTGGGTGTTCTTGCAGCCTCTAACAACAAACCTTTGGATAACAAGTGCATCTTTCTTTGTTTTGATAGGCATTATAGTTTGGTTGATAGAAAGACATGAGAACCCTGAGTTCCAGGGATCTTGGTCCCAACAGATTGGAGTTATGCTTTGGTTTGGGTTCTCTACCCTTGTTTATGCTCATAGTAAGTAATTGCCTTTGCACATTTGTATATGCCAATCTTGGTCAGAAGAGATTGGAGTGATTGTATACTTAAGTTTTCACACTTGGCTGCTTACTATGTGTGACAGGGGAGAGGCTAAAACACAACTTATCAAGATTTGTAGTTACAGTATGGATATTTGCGGTGCTCATATTGGTTACAAGTTACACTGCAACATTGACATCAATGATGACGGTGCAACAGATACGATTTAACTCTAATAAAAACTATGTGGGTCACCTCTCCGGCTCCCAAATCGCAAAAGCGGCCCTCGCCAATTCCAGCATGCAAACAATGAGATCATTGGGTCTCAATACTTCAGAAGATTATGCTGGAGCCTTGTTGAACAAAACTGTCTCACTTATTGTTAGTGAGTTGCCATATCTCAAAGTCGTTTTTCGCGACTACCCTACAGATTTTCTCTTGGTCAAGAAACAATATACAACCAATGGTTTTGGCTTTGTATGTATCCTTCTTCTGCATCATCAGTTTCCTTACTTTTCATCTTTGTTTTTTTTTACTTGTTGCAAAAATATGTTTGTTTATTAAAACACGTTACAGATGTTCCAGAAGGGCTCCGAGTTGGTGCATAATGTTTCTAGGGAGATCTCGCAGCTAAGGACGAGCGAGAGACTAAACGAGATGGAGAGAAAATGGTTTGATAAACCGTCCCCATTCCCAACGGATGATACATCAAATCCTATAACCCTTGATAGATTCCGCGGTTTGTTTATGATCACTGGAGTTTCATTCGTTTTCGCTCTTGCAGTACTTTTCATTCTCTGGCTCCGAGAAAAATGGGAAATTCTTGTGAATTCGGTCAATATATTCCTCTCACGACGACTTAGACATTTCAGGATCCTCTTCACAAGAACTATCCATCCTAGTCCCCTCGATAACACTGTTGGCGAGAATGCTATTCAAATGGCTCAACGTAACAGACGATAGGAACTGATTAAGTAAGAGCAAACAATTGTTGTCTCTACATCTGACTCTGACCTTGGAGCCTCACAGAACAACCTTGCCGTTCTTCCTCCAATGGTCCACTAGTTCTTGATCCAAACTGGCTTGGGATTGAAAGTATAAATGATTGTTAGACCAATTTGTAAATTATAGTGTGATCATATTTGGAACCACTTTATGAATTTGTTGTTGCATGATATGTTTCTCACTTTGATTAATTTGTGGATAGTGTTTTCAAAATGGTTAGGTTCTCTTATGTTAGATCCGCTAGGATCCATTTTAAAAAAGTAAATTAAGTAAATAAACAAATATTTATTTACGTAAATGACAAACAGCAAAAAGATATCGGTAAAGTATTGAGTAAGAATTTCTCGATCCACATGGTTTATATCTTTTATATGTAAAGGTATGAAGGAAAAAAGTATGTCAATGAAGTACACCGGAAGCCCTTGATATCTTGAGTCATGCACTCATGCTATTAGCGATCATTGGGTTTGGATGGTAGCTCAAATTATAGTTATCACGGAAAATCATTCATCCGGAGAGGAATTATCGTCAAACGATGTTAAGTATTTTAATGGAAAAACTATTGAAAAAAGCCCGACTTATTTAATATTTGCCAAAAAAATACCCGAATTAAAACATGTATTACAATTATTTATCTAATCGGGGTTAGTAGATCCTAAACATCCATCTAAGTTTGATTAGGTTGTTTTCCTAGCATCTAGCAAAACATGATCTCCTCTAAGATCATAACATGATCTCTCATGGGAGTTAATGTTATGCAAATCTTACTAAGATCAAAATTCTATTGACCGTAAATTTTATGATAGAAAGAGTTTGGTGGTCGTGTATAGTTATTACAAATTCACTTAGTTTTAGGTGGAGGCCTAAAATTAAGGAAGGACATATAGGATGCTAACTAAGTTTGATCATACGAATTCGTTTACTTTTGAGATGAGACGACTTACACTATATTCTCCTCTGCTTCTAGATTTATATCTATAGGCGTCTAATTTATATAATCCTTACGCTAAGTACTTGTTGAATAGTTCTTGTCGGCAAAGGATAAATGCTCTCCTAAATCTATGGTGTTGAAAGATGTTTGTTTTCTTTTGCTTAAAATTGACTCTTTGACTAATTCTGTCCAATAGAATCTTCATTTTTCATATTGTTCTTTCTTACTTTCGGCACTAAACATTATACATTTTTCCTAAAATAATGGCTTGAGAGAAAAAAGAGTAGCCAACCTTAGTACTCCACACCGAAATTTCTCTTAAATTGTAATCGGTTGACTAATGTTATATCCTCCTAAAAATTCGTTAACTTTGAATTTTTCTTCTTCTAATATACGATTTTTTTTTTATTACATGTGAATAGAATAGAGAAAATGTAAAACACGGCATGGGTTGGCTAAAACCGTTTATATAAAATAATAATAATGATGTGTAAAGCAGCAAACGTGTGGTCTCTCCTTCCTCTTTAGTTTGAAAGTTTTTTAATGGAGAGATTTTGCATTCAAAACTCAGTTCTGCTCTCATTTCTTCTTGTTCTGCTTTTATTCATCTCTAACTGTTTTGCTTCGAGTCAAAACAACGATGATGATAAACGGGTTCAGGTCCGGGTCGGGTTGGTTTTGGATTTGGATTCCTTGGAAGGGAAGATAGTGAGAAGCTCTGTTTCCATGGCGCTTTCCGATTTCTATGCTATTAACAATGACTACAAAACAAGAGTCTCTCTTTTAGTCAGAGATTCTCATGGAGAGCCTCTCCTTGGTCTTGCTTCTGGTACATACTCCATTAATCTGCAACATCTCAACATAAATCACCTTCTTCTCTGTGTCCATTTTTGTTTTCTGATTATTCAAATACACTCACAATCTTTGTCAATGAAACAGTTGTAGATTTGCTGAAAACAGAAGGAGTGGAAGCGATAATTGGTGGGAACTCGTTGCTAGAAGCGAAGCTTTTGGCGGAACTTGGAGAGAAAGCTAGGGTTCCTGTGATTTCACTTAACTCTCCCATGTCATTGTCATTGAGTAGATACAGTTACTTGATCCAAGCCACACATGACTCTGCCTCTGAGGTTAAGGGAATTACAGCTTTCCTCCATGGCTTTGATTGGAACAGTGTTGCTCTTGTTTATGAAAATGACGAAGACTGGAGAGAGAGTATGCATTTTATGGTAGACCATTTCCATGAGAACAACGTTCATGTACAGTCCAAGGTTGGTTTTAGTGTCTCTTCGAGTGAGGATTCTTTGATGGATCGGGTACGGAAGCTTAAGGACTTGGGAACAACAGTCTTTGTTGTTCATTTGTCTGAAGTTATTGCAACTCGTCTCTTCCCATGTGCTGAGAAATTAGGGTTGATGGGTGAAGGGTTTTCTTGGATTCTAACTGCCAAAAGCATGAGCAGTTTACATGAGTCCGTCGATGATTTTGCAAAGGAGGCAATGGAAGGTGTGGTTGGTTTCAAGTCTTATATACCAATGTCGAAAGAGCTTCACAACTTCACTTTGAGATGGCGGAAATCGCTCCCTCTTGAAGAAGTTACTGGGAGTGAGATTACTCGGTTGAGTATCTCTGGCGTATGGGCTCACGATATCGCTTGGGCTTTGGCGAGTGCAGCTGAAGTTACAAGGATGCCAAATGTATCCTCAACTCTCCTTGAGGCCATGAAAGAGAGAAGGTTTAAGGGTTTGAGTGGTGACTTTCAATTGGATGATATGAAGTTGTTATCAGACAAGTTTGAGATTGTGAATATGATAGGATCAGGTGAGAGAAGGGTAGGATTCTGGAATTCTAATGGTAGTTTCAGCAATAGAAGACATTTATCTTCTACTCATGACAAGCTGGAGACCATCATTTGGCCCGGTGGGTCTGCTCAAAGTCCGAAAGGTAGTCGTCTAAGAGAGAGCGGTAGAAAAAAGCTGAGGGTTTTGGTTACATCTAGCAATAGATTCCCAAGACTGATGAAGGTAGAGACTGATCCAGTAACAAATGCTATAACAATTGTCGAAGGGTTCTGTATAGAGGTCTTTGAGGCATCCATTGCACCTTTCAACTATGAAGTGGAGTACATACGTTGGCTCAATGGAACTAACTACACCAAACTTGCATATGCACTTCATAGCCAGGTACTAACCATTGCTCGATTTTACGATTACAAGTACTTTTAAAATTTACGTAGACTGCGTGTGGTAACTGAATGAATTCCACTGATAATTTTTGTTGCGTTCCTTAGAAAGACAAATATGATGCGGCCGTGGGAGATATTACAATCACTTCTGATAGATCGACGTATGTCGATTTTACGTTGCCATACACCGAAATGGGTCTTGGAATTGTAGCAGCAAAGGAGAGAAGTATGTGGGTGTTCTTCCAACCTCTAACACCAAACCTTTGGATAACAAGTGCAGCATTCTTTGTCTTGACGGGTATTATAGTTTGGTTGATAGAAAGAGCTGAAAACAAAGAGTTCCAAGGATCTTGGCCACAACAGATTGGAGTTGTGCTTTGGTTTGGCTTCTCTACACTTGTTTATGCTCACAGTAAGTACTTTTTCATATTCTTATATATCAATCTTGGCCATAAGAGAATAGATTGGAGTGGTGCTTACCTTTTGCTGCTTACTATATGTGACAGGGGAGAAGCTAAAACACAACTTATCAAGATTTGTAGTTACAGTTTGGGTATTTGCGGTGCTCATATTGGTTACAAGTTACACTGCAACATTGACATCAATGATGACGGTGCAACAAATACGATTTAACGCCAATGAAGACTATGTCGGTCACCTCTCCGGCTCCCTCATCGCAAATGCTGCCCTCACCAATTCCAGCCTCCGAGCAATGAGATTATTGGGTCTCAATACTTCAGAAGATTATGCTCAAGCCTTGTTGAATAAAAGTGTCTCATATATTGTCAGTGAGTTGCCATACCTCAAAATCCTCCTTGGCGAGTATCCTGGACATTTTCTCATGGTCAAGACACAATCTACCACCAATGGTTTTGGCTTTGTATGTATCCTTCTTCGACATCATCAGTCTATATTTACTCTTCATCTTCTTGTCACTTTCTGACCATAAATGTTTGTTTTTTAAACCACATTTCAGATGTTTCAAAAGGGCTCGGAATTGGTGCATAATGTTTCTCGGGAGATCGCGAAGCTAAGGACGAGCGAGAGACTAAACGAGATGGAGAGAAGATGGTTTGATAAACAACTCCCATACACAACCGATGATACATCAAATCCTATAACCCTATATAGATTTCGCGGTTTGTTTATGATCACCGGAGTTTCATTCGCTTTCGCTCTTGCAGTACTTCTCATTCTCTGGCTCCGAGAAAAATGGGAAATTGTTGTGAGTTCAGTCAATCTATACCTCTCACAACAACTTAGGCATTTCAGGATCCTTTTTACAAGAACTATCCATCCTAGTCCCCTCGATAACCCAATTGGCGAGAATGCGGTTCAAATGGCTCAACGTAACAGAGGATAGGAAATTATTAACATAGAGCAAACAATTGTTGTGATGTTGAACGTCTCTGACTCTGACTCTGACCTTGAAGCCTCACAGAAGAACATTGTCGTTCTTCAACGATCCAGTAGTTCTTGATCCAAGTAAAAATGATTGTTATACCAATTTCGTAAATTATAGAATGATCAGATTCACAACTACTTCATGAATTTGATGTTGCTGTATATATATTGAATTTAGCAAAAAGATATCGGTAATATATTGAGTTAAAACTTAACACATTATAATTTTTTTATAAATATATTTTATGATTTGTTAATCTTATAACCATATACGTTATTTATAAGGTTTTGATTTAGGGTTTCAATTCGATTTTACCAAATAAATAACATGGTTGTTTAATTTTTTATTCATGTTTATATTTGCAATAGTATATTTTCAGTATAGTTTTTACTTTTACTCTATGGTTAGTTTATATATTTTTTGGAGAATATGATACTTTTGTAACACCATAAATCTTCGTTTTATAAAGTAACTTTATAAACCTTGTAAAATGTAAGAAACTCTAATCAGTAGGTAAGAGACTCCTACATTTCGTTTGTTTGGTTTTGTGTTCTACATATGATATGAGATCGTTTACTTTTGAGATGAGACGACTTTCACCATTTTCCTCTACTTCTAGATTAATATCTTTGACTGTCTAAAATTGTCAAATCTCTTACACTAAGTAATTGAAGAATTGTTCTTGTCAACACAAGTTAATTGTTAATATAGACTATCCCAACAAATATGTAGTTACGTATAAAAATGTCAGATATTAACACATTTGTTCGTACGACCGTTGACAAATGTTTTTTTTTCTTGCTAAAACTAGTCCGTTGACATTTATCCTATAGAATCCGTTTTAATTGATTACATATTTGCCCAAAAAAAAAAAATCTTCCATACCTTTTTACTTTCATCACCAAACATTTTTATACATTTAGTCAGATTCTCTAAAATAATGAATGACTTGAGAGACAAAAGAGTAGCCAAACTCGGTAGCCCACTCCGAAATTTTTACGTTGACTAATGTCATTTTTCTTAAAATCATGATGTATTGATGTCATCATCCTAAACTTTGAATTTTTCTTCAAATATATATATATATATATATATATATATCAAATTTTATAAAAGTAGAATAATTAGACAGAGGAAAAACAAAACACGGCATGAGTGTTTATATAACAACAAAATAAAATAATGACTAAAAGCAGCAAACGTGGGGTTTCTCCTTTCTCTGTAGTTGAAAAGTTTTTTTTTTAATGGAGAGATTTTGTATCCAAAACTCAATTTTGCTATCGTTTCTTCTTGTTTTGCTTCTCTTCATCTCCATTGCTTCTACTCAAAACGACGACGTTGATCATGGACGTAAACGGGTTCAGATCCGGGTCGGGTTGGTTTTGGATTTGGGTTCCGTGGAAGGGAAGATAGTAAAAAGCTCTGTTTCCATGGCTCTTTCAGATTTCTACGCTATTAACAATGATTACAAAACTAGAGTCTCTTTTTCAGTCAGAAACTCTCATGGAGAGCCTCTTCTTGGTCTTGCTTCTGGTAACACACTTCTTCTCTACATAAACTTTGTCTTCTTCTTTGTCTCCATTCAGGCTCACAATCTTTGTTTTCTATGTTTTGTGAATGAAACAGCTGTAGATCTGCTGCAAACTGAAGGAGTGGAAGCGATAATTGGCGGGAATTCGTTGTTTGAAGCGAAGCTTTTAGGGGAACTTGGAGAGAAAGCTAGGGTTCCTGTGATTTCACTTAACTCTCCCATGTCATTGTCATTGAGTAAATACAGTTACTTGATCCAAGCCACGCATGATTCTGCCTCTGAGGCTAAGGGGATTACATCTTTTATTAAGGGGTTTGATTGGAACAGTGTTGCTCTTGTTTATGAAGATGATGATGATTGGAGAGAGAGTATGCAATTTCTGGTGGATTATTTTCATGAGAATGGTGTTCGTGTACAGTCCAAGGTTGGTTTTACTGTCTCTTCAAGTGAGGATATCGTGATGGATCGGTTACGGAAGCTTAAGGACTTGGGAACAACTGTCTTTGTTGTTCACTTGTCTGAAGTTATTGCAACTCATGTCTTCCAATGTGCTGGGAGATTAGGGTTGATGGGTGATGGGTTTGTTTGGATCCTCACTACTAAAACCATGAACAGCTTCCATGAGAGCATTGACGATTTCTCAAAAGAGGCAATGGAAGGTGTGGTTGGTTTCAAGTCTTACATTCCAATGTCTAAAGAGCTTCTAAATTTCACTTTGAGATGGAGAAAATCATTGCCTGTTGAAGAAGCGGAGATAACTCGGTTGAGTATCTCTGGCATATGGGCTCACGATATCGCTTGGGCTCTAGCGAGTGCAGCAGAAGTTACAAGGGTGCCAAATGTATCATCAACTCTCCTTGAGGAAATCACAAAGACTAGGTTTAATGGTTTGAGTGGTGATTTCCAATTGGATGATAAGAAGTTGTTATCAAACATGTTTGAGATTATCAATATGATAGGGTCAAGTGAGAGAAGAGTAGGATTCTGGAATTCTAATGGTAGTTTCAGCAATAGAAGACAATTATCTTCTACTCATAACAAGCTTGAGACCATAATCTGGCCCGGTGGGTCTGCTCAAAGTCCGAAAGGGAGTAGTCTAAGAGAGAGCGATAGAAAAAAGCTGAGGGTTTTGGTTACATCTAGCAATAGATTTCCAAGACTGATGAAAGTTGAGACTGATCCAGTAACAAATGAACTAATTGTTGAAGGGTTCTGTATAGAAGTCTTTCGAACTTCGATTAGTCCTTTTAACTATGAAGTTGAGTACATACCTTGGCTTAATGGAAGTAACTACGACAATCTTGCATATGCACTTAGTAGCCAGGTACTAACCATGTTTTAGTTTACTATTTATTACAAGTATTTTATTTCATCAATGTAGAGTGTGTGGAAACTAAATCAACTCCATTGAAATATTTGTGTTGCATCCCACAGAAAGACAAATACGATGCAGCTGTGGGAGATATTACAATCACTTCCAATAGATCGATGTATGTTGATTTTACGTTGCCATTCACTGAAATGGGTCTTGGAATTGTAGCACTAAAGGAGAGAAGTATGTGGGTGTTCTTCCAACCTTTAACACCAGACCTTTGGATAACAAGTGCAGCTTTCTTCGTCTTGACCGGCATTATAGTTTGGTTGATAGAAAGAGCTGAGAACAAAGAGTTCCAAGGATCTTGGCCACAACAGATTGGAGTTGTGCTTTGGTTTGGCTTCTCTACACTTGTTTATGCTCACAGTAAGTAATCGCCTTTTCACATTCTTTGTTCAGAAAAAGATTGTAGTGATGCTTACCTTTTGCTGATGTGTGACAGGGGAGAGGCTAAAACACAACTTATCAAGATTTGTAGTTACAGTTTGGGTATTTGCGGTGCTCATATTGACCGCTAGTTACACAGCAACATTGACATCAATGATGACGGTACAACAGATACGATTCAACTCAAATGAAGACTACGTGGGTCACCTTTCGGGCTCCCTTATCGCAAATGTGGCTCTCACTAGTTCCAGCCTCCGAGCAATGAGATCACTAGGTCTCAATAGTTCTGCAGATTATGCTCAAGCCTTGCTGAACAAGACTGTCTCGTTTGTTGTTGATGAGTTACCATACCTCAAAGTTCTCCTTGGTGAGAATCCGACACTTTTTCTCATGGTCAAGACACAATCTACCACCAACGGTTTCGGCTTTGTATGTATCCTTCTTCTTCATCATCATAAGCTTCCTTACTCTTTATTTACTTTTGACATGCTGACAAAAAAAATGTTTGGTTTGTTATACTATGTTTCAGATGTTCCAAAAGGGCTTTGAGTTGGTTTCTAATGTGTCCCGAGAAATCTCAAAGCTAAGAACGAGCGAGAAGCTAAACGAGATGGAGAAAAGATGGCTTGATAAACAACTTCCATACACAACCGATGATACATCAAATCCTATAACCCTTTACCGATTCCGCGGTTTGTTTATGATAACCGGAGTTTCATTCGCTTTTGCTCTTGCGGTACTTCTCATTCTCTGGCTCCGCGACGAATGGACAGTTCTTGTGAATTCGGTTAAACTATTCATCTCGCGACAAATTATACATTTCAGGATCCACTTCGCAAGAAATATCCATCCTAGTCCCCTTGATGACCCCATTGGCGAAAATGCGGTTCAAATGGCTCAACGTAACAGACAATAGGAACATATTACAATAGATCAAAAGGTCCATAACCAATCTTTACTTGTAAATGGCTTACATATAAAAGTATAAATGATGTTTAGAGACCAATCCTTGTAAATTGTAGATGTGATCAAATCAAACCCACCTTTATAATGTTGGTTAATATATGATTAGCGTCTCCGAAATGGTTTGGTTGTCAAAATATATATCACAAGTCCGATTATAATCAGAAAAATTAAGTGGAGCAAACCGAATCAGTTAAAGATCCGGTTTAATAACATTAGTTATACCAGCTTAAAAAATCTGAAAACGCAAACCAAAATCAAACCGAGTCAGAAATCCGAAATGGCGGTCCGGTATGGGCTTTTTGTGGGCTGGGCTAACAAAAATCAATGAGCCCATAATCATTTTTTCAAAGAGAAGAGAGAAACCCTAATCTCTCAACTCTCTCCCAATCTCATATATAATCTCTCTTCTTTCTCTTCTTCAACAACGCCTCTCTCATCTACTGCTATAATTTAGCTAATCTTTCAAAATTTTGCAGCTAATGCTTATTAAGTTACCATCTTGTTCTTCTTTTTTGGGTCTATAGTTTTTTTTTTTTGTGTAAAGCAAGTCTCAGCTTCTTTGATTGGGTTAAGATAATCACGATCCAATCAATTTTATGAAAATCATAACTTGCGAAATAGAAATCGGCAGTATCACTCGCCTGGATCTGATAATAATCATGATTATCCAGGCCCTTAATCTACTGGCACAATCTTTTGATTTTGTTATTTGTTGTTTGTTTGGCAAACGCACTCTGTCCCAAGACCATTAATTCCATGTTTTGGTGCAATTTCTTCGTTTGCTAAATTTAACTGTACTCCAATTTTAACTAAGTCCTCGGGATTTTACAAAGTGATCCCTATTTGGGCACATGATTGGTTTACAATACTTTGATTATTTCGATACCAAATAGTTTCACATAATCGTTTTTTTTTAGGAGTTAGTTATTTGAATTGCTATGTTTATATCTTAGCAGAAGAATAAATTAAGAATAACTTCATCATATTTGGTGTACGATTTATTTGAGACAGTCACTAAGGACGGTAATTGTTTCCGGATTTTGGTTTAACGAATAGGCTTAGGATTTAACTTGAAACATCTAATGAATCTTGGAATAGGAGTCTTGTTTACTGGCTCTACAGCAGAACTGGCAAAAGAACATGTTAATTATGTGAGAACATGTTAGAGCATAAGCCTTGAAGAACATTTGATTTTGACTCAATTCGTAGATCCCGTAATTGCCCAATCTCAAGATCCTGACATACACGCCATTCTAGAAAATTGTAACCAAAATCAAGAGGCACCTATCTAAATGGGAAAATGTTGATGAAGAAGATACTGATGACTGAAGTCCTTCAGTTGATGAACATAATATTGATGATGAAAGTCCTTCAATTAGAAATTGGGCTTTCTATCATTTAGGCCCATATATTCCGGGTATGAAGCCGGATCCAATAACCCGTTGGTATTTGAACGGGCCATATTGCCACGGGTTCGGTGCTTTTTAGAAAGATAAGACATGCATTAGTCGGGACTCGGGCGGTGACTACGGCGGTATAATTTTAATTGGGCTTTTCATGGGCCTGAATCTTTTGGGCATATTATCACTGGGTTTTATTATGAACTACATTGAGAATTTAGAAGAAGGAGTGCTTCATTTATTAAACCAATTGATGGTATATCCTAGGAACAAAACCTCACTAAGCATGCAAACAGTTAATTAAATAAACAAACCCGCTTGAAACCAATATTATATATATTAAAACATTCGTCAATCTTTTTTGTTATATTGAAGAAAAGGATTCAAATCTTCAAGATTCTTCATGGACTAAGGAGTGTTACAACCATGAAACGTAAATGCTGCTTTGCTTTCAAATGCGAAATACTAACTAATTGTTCATCTTCATTGATTCTTCTGCAAAGATGTCACAAATTCATATTACGCCTAAAGATTATCGTTCATACAAAAGTAAAGATCGATTTACAAAGATTGCAGAAACTAAACCATACAAGAACAACTAAAATCATGTACAATCTTCAATATTCTTCATGGTTGTGTAACTACTCTTATCAAACTAACTCTTCTTCATTGATTCTTCTCTAAAGATCGATTTACAAGATTCCAGAAACTAAACCATCCAAGAACAACTAAATCATGTACAATCAAATCCTCAAAAGAAAAAGAAATTTCAACACAGGAACTATCCAAAGAACCGCAAATCTAAAATGAGCCAAGAAACAACTTTTTTCAACGATCTTTGAGTCAAATCAGCACCTGAATTTGATACAGAGACCATGTTTGCCATGAACACAGCAAGGTTTCAGCTGCGAATACGAAGAATTCTTCTTCTTCAACGTAACGTTCTTCGCGAATGTTCTCTTCCCCGATTTCCTAATCCTCTGAATCTTTACCAGCTCATAATCATCATCGAGATCATCATAGTAGTCAAAGTCATCTTCATCAGTATCATCGGGATTGATACTATCTTTACTAGAATAATTCCGACTTTACTTTACAACATTTTTGTATTATTACACTGACATTGACATATATTGTTGAAATCAGTTAGAAATTTAGTTATGCAAAAATGAAATAAACCAATGATCCTTATTTGACCATAATTGGGACTTTTCACCGATGAAAAAATCCATCTATAAAAGCCTTTTAAGACTGCATAAGTGGCACGTTGCATGAGAGTCTTACATATCAAGATGCTTGATTTTTAAATAGGTAATTTTATCTTGTGATTATACATTTCTCTATTGTGTGTGGTTTTTCGAAAACATCTTAATTGCCATATCAACATACTGTAATTAGAGATGTACTGAAGTTAGCTAATCTCACTTCTTGTGCTTTGTGAAAAGAGGAGCTAGCCAAGTAGCTGAAGTATTAGCTAAATCTGCAAGAAGTCACATATATATAGTTTATTAGTCGTAGTAGTTTAAAGTTATGTAACTCCTTTAATATGATGAAATAGTTTGACGAATATATTTTTTTTTTGCTAAAGTGCAAATATCATATAATATGAAAAGTTTGGTTTTACAACCTATACATTGGTTTCTTGGCAAAAAGAGAAAAACAAGAAAGCAATACATTTTAGATAGACAGTCATGTCAATGCAACCAGCAGCTCATAAGGTTCTTGAAACGCTTTTTGAGTCGTCTTGCAGTGATGGAATTCTTTATCTCTCGGTCAATCTCCTTGAAGATCAGCGAAGGCAGGATATAAGTCTGGTTGTGCAGGAGGTTGTTCCTCTGTTTCCATATGGCATAAATGACAGATTGCGCAACTAACTTTCGGAGAGTTGGCGGAGAGTGCACGTGTTTAGTCCTTGTCCAGTCGAGTAAGTCTGACCAACTAGAGAAAGAGACCTGAGGAAGTTGCAGCCTAAAGCAGACAGCACGCCAGATAAACAGAGCAAAGTCACAAGATAACAAAAGGTGGTCCCTGCATTCAAGATGTAGAGAGCAAAGGCCACAAGTTGGATCAATGTTCATTCCCCAACCTAATAGTCTAGATTTTGTCGGTAAACGATCAAGATTGGCAGTCCACATAGTGAATGCATGCCTTGGAGTGGCTCCCTTGAACCAGACAGAGCTGAACCAACCCACAGCAGCAGCTCTTGGCCGGAGGACAGCCCACGTAGCTTTGGAAGAATACCCAGGATAGGTTTTTCCATCCACAACCCAGTCGTAAGTGTCCTTTTCCTGAGTATCAGAAGGCAGGCTGATGGTAGTTAAGTAAGTGTGGAGACGCAGAGAATCTTCAGACCTGGGGTCCGCGAGAGACCAACCATCTTGGTTACAAGTATCGCAGACTTTAGCATTCAAAGGCACACGAAGGTTCCTCGGGCCATCAGTTCCTATGGAATTGATAAGTGGACCAAAGGGAGTCCAGTTATCAAACCAAAAACTGGCCCTTCTACCATTTCCAATTGTACATTTGACAAAATTTCCAGCCAAAACTCTCAACTTTAAAAGACACTTCCAATTCCAAGAATCACTAGCCTTTTCAGGTTGGTTCCAGAAGCTAGTAGTGGAGCTGAGATTATGATAATTGTGCCAGGCCACCCATAAGGAGCCGCTTGTCGAGAAAAGAAGCCAAATCATTCTAAGACAAAGTGTTCTGTTCCACACGGCAAACCGCCTTAGCCCCAACCCACCTTCTTCTTTTGGCAGACAGACCTGAGACCATGCTACCTTCGCCATGCCTTTTGTGTCAATCCTGCCCGACCATAAAAACCTTGAACAGAGAGATTCAATTTGTCTAATACAGCCCAAAGGTAGAATAAAAGCTGAAATCCAGAAGTTGACCAACCCAGATATGACAGTGGCAATCAGTTGGATCCTCCCTGCGAAAGAAAGAGATTTCACAGCCCAAGCATTAAATCTAGCAGTGATCTTTTCAATCAGCGGTGCATATTCAGCAACTTTAAGCTTTTTACTCATCAACGGGAGGCCTAAGTATCTTACAGGAAAAGACCCAGGTGTGAATCCATAGCTTGCCAAAACATTGGATTCAAGTTGGCTCAAGCCTGCGAGAAAGAGATGTGTTTTCTCCCGGTTCATTTGCAGTCCAGACCATCCCGCAAAGTCTTCAAGAGTCTCATAAATGCCATGAAGCGAAGAACTTCCACCGTCGAAAAAGATCATAACGTCATCAGCGAACATCAGATGGGATATCTCCAACTCCGACGTTTTAGGATGGTAAGAAATATAACCAGAAGAATATCTGGAACGAAGGAGACCAGAGAACACTTCCATTGCCAGAACAAACAGATAAGGTGACATCGAATCGCCTTGTCTCAAACCCTTAGAACTTTTAAAAAAACCACCTGAGATCCCATTCACTGAGACTGAAAAACTGGCAGTAGATAAACACTCATAAATCCAACCAATAAATTTCCTTGGCATGTTGATAGCTGTAAGAGTAGCAATGATAAAATCCCATCTGATGGAGTCAAATGCCTTCCTTAAATCCACCTTTAACATTGCACTAGGAGCTACATCCTTTTTATTATACCCCTGAACAATTTCGGTTGCAAGTAGCACATTCTCCAACAACAAACGACCCGGCAAAAAAGCGGATTGAGAATGACTGATGATGGAGGACAGAATATCCTTCAGACGTTTGGCCAGCAACTTAGAAATGACCTTGTAGACAGTATTAAGGCAAGAGATGGGTCTAAAATCTGACATCTTGGAAGCATTTGGGATTTTGGGAATAAGGACAAGGTTGGTTGCATTCCACTGTTTGAGCATCTTCCCGGACCTGAAGAACTCCATGACCGCATCTGTAATTTCAGCTCCCAAAATTGACCAACAAGAGCAGAAAAATTCAGAAGTGTACCCGTCAGGGCCACAAGCTTTGTTTTTTGGCAGTGAGAAGAAAGCATCACGGATTTCCTTAGCAGAGAATGAGGAATCCAGAACCCCTTTTTGTTCTTCATTACATTTGAATTGCAAGAGGTTAGAAATGTCTTCTTGAAAGAAATTAGTTTGACGAATATATAACCAAATAAATCACTAAAAGTAACAAATGATGTAAAAAGAAAATTCATCAGCACTAATTGTTGGTAATCAAACTTACGTAACATCTTTAATATTATAATGAAATGACTTGTCGACGCAAATTATTCAGGTTCGTTATAGTATAAGATAAAAAAAACTTATGTTTTATTACATTCTTTGACATTCATTATTGACTAAAATTTTTAAAACCACACTTGACAATTATTGTTTACAACAAACTAACAAATAAATATTCAATCACAATTCACAAGAGAATGCCAACTATCAAGTTCTTTTACGTTCTCATGCCCGTGTTTGAAAGTCACCGCATGAAGCGTTGACCAAACCCAAAGAACAACTAAATCCAAAAGCAGATCTTCCAACGTCAAACTCCACCAAAGTATTTTCCATCTGATGTAATCCGATCACCACCGCCTGCGCCGCCGCATCTCCTCCGTTGACGAAAGCCAAGCAAGCCACGTCATCACTGACCTTCTTCATCGCGTTTGCGGGAGACACTTTCCAAATCACCCCATCAGCTAGCTCTAGATCGATCCGAGGCACTTGGAAATTTGTCGTTGACTTAAGACAAAACTCCAAGGGTGTCGTGCTAATGACACGTGGAATATCCGACGTGGCTTGTGCGAATGCTTCAATAAAGACTTTGTATACGTCGCTTCTTAACATAGTGAAAGGGAAAACGGTGCTTAGAGTCACGCCTCCGTCACCGTTGCGGTCGAAATCAAAAGCGTTTGGGGCAAGCAAGATCCTTTTCCCTTTAATGGAAATACCCTTGAGTCCCAAGAAATAGTTGTTGAGTTTTCTAGGGTTTCTAATCAATCGAGTGTAAGAGAGCATGGATCTTGCATCAATGTTTCTGAGCTTGTATGGACCTCCACCAAAGTAAATAGCACCTTTGTTCATAGGGTTTTCATCAGAAGGAAGACACAACGCAAACTTCTTCTCGAGTCCGAGTCTAGGTCGAGTCAGCTGGTTCCATGTGGCCAGAGCGGTAGGTGCAAGCCCCGCAAGGCCGAAAACACCAGGAGGGAAGTCCACGAGGAACGGCTTGGGGATGCATAGGTAATAAACGTTGTTGAACGTAACCGAGGGAGATATAGGGTTTAGAGAAGAAATGGATAAATCTCCATAAGTGAATTGGTCAGAGTTACATAGACGTTGGAATGGCTCAAAGGCGGTTGCTTGGCAAGCACACACTCCGTTGATGACTGTGTTGGTGGGAAGAGGGCATTGGTGAGGGCTAACTCCACGAGTAAGAGCACACACCGGGGAGTCGCAAGGGACGATGGGACGAGGGAGACCATCGTTGCATTTGCGGACAAGATAAGGTCCGCCGATGTGAATGAAAAACTCTTGGTTTTTGTTGAGTGTGAAGGTGAAGATAGGCAAGATTGGGTTCTTAGAGACGGTTGATACTAAGGTTTTCGGTGAATAGTTATGAGCCGAGACGTAACTATAAGCTGAAAACAAAAGGAGGCAGAGGACAACAACACTCTTTTCCATCTTTTAAGTGTTTATGTCTAAAACTGTTGGAAAGCTTTAAGGTTTATGGATATGGATATGATTAGAAGGAGAAATAACAACGGATATATAGTGATTAGAGTTGACATTTCGACAAATAGACGTCACACACGTTAATATTGTACGAACATGTACACATAACAATACGGTCGGACCACAACAACTTGATATATAAAAAGATTACTAGCTTTATGTCAAGTTGCTATAGGAGGGCCAAACGTTTAGGCAAAGCCAGGCCATGACAATCCTATATTTATGTCAAGTTGATAGATAGATTTAAAAAAACTACCGATGGATATAGATAGTCATAGACTCAAAAGACTTATACGTTAATATAAGAAAAGAAAAAAACTTCAACTATCATCACTAGTTGTGGTTTTATATTTTTGTTGACAATTCATATTAGATATATATTATAAAAAAATAGCAGTAGTTTGAATCTGGAATGTGATAATCAATAGTCAAAACTGCTTTCAAAGTTTTCTAGGATATGATAAGCATGTGCGCCTTTTTGGTCAAATTCGAATGACATATACATTATTTGCTAAATGATGCATGTAAATGGTTAACTTATTGTTGAGAATATTTTGAATGGAACCATATTTGTAATCAACCGTATAAAAAATATATAATGCATGTAGAAAGCTAGAGAAAAAGTCTGGGTTCAAGACGTAGAATTAGAATTGGTCTTAGTCATACTAAAACCGGGACTAAACCAACACCGGATTTATGTAGCTCATAGAAATTTCCTTTGGGACACCATTTAGCAACCACAATGCTCAAGAAGATTCAGTCTCTTAACTAAACCGAACTGCTACTATTTCATCAGCAACAACGTCCTTTAACCCCAAACGCTGAGCTATCTACCTGTTCAGGTTTCCCCAGTACCATGTCTGTTACCATTTCCGCGGTTGCTAGAGCCTACACGATTTCAAGAAACCGGGAATTATGATAGGGTTCTTGAGAAAGGTTTTAGAACATTAGGATGAATCTTGCTTACCATAGAAAGTCCACCTCCTTCATGCCCAGCTGCTAAGTACAGGTTTTGTAATCCGGGCACGGATCCTATCATTGGCTTCCCATCAGGCACTATGATCAGTTAAAAGACAACTTTTTAGGTTTTGTGATCATTCCAAATGCCGGTTTCAAGCATTTTTTGGTTTGGGGCATTAGAGACTAGAAGCTTACTGTAAGGACGCAACCCGACTCTCACTTTCCTGTTCCGGATGAAATCTTCGAGGGAAATATCACGTAACTTGGGGAAGAATTCTGCTGCACGCTCCCATATGCAACGGATGATAAACTCATCAGCTTCAGTGTCGAACCCGACAAACTCACGGCTGCTCCCTGAAATTAGAGATGGCTAAATGAAGAAAACCGATATATCGTGTGTGACTAATGAACATCTTAACACACAAAATAAAAATAACATGGATTGTACTGGTTCAGGAGTTTAAGAGGTGGACATAGATTGATGAAATTACCGAGGATAAGGTTTCCTGATGTGTCCATTGTGGCTGTCATGGAAATAGATAGCATCCGTTCCTCAACATCCAATTCTGGAGCTGAAGCACTTTGATGATTTGTGTAACCAGCCTCCATTAATCCATGATTTAAGTGGAACGAATCAAAATTCTCTACCACAAGTAGATGCCCCTGCAAAGAAATAAATTGGATACTGCGTTTAAAAATACGAAAGCAATCTATTTCCAGTGTTTGCATATTCGTGAAGCTTGCAGCGGATCAACTCGATAAATAAAGATATACTTGTTTTTCGTAAACAAATAATATTCTCAAGAACTCAGCTTTCCACAATTTCTAGACCTCTTGATGTCGATGATACACTTCCATATAGAGAATCAAAATGCCAAATTTTTGTGCTGGCAGAGATTGATTACGGGGGTAACTGAAATGGAAGAATGAGCAATCAGACGAGAGTTCAAACCTTTCTTGGCTTCACAGGAACGTCCAGCGAAATGTTGCAGTCCTTAAGCAATTCATGCATCAGAGATCCACTCCAGCAACCAGCAGCTACTATAGTAGCCTTCTTACCATACAAGTTACGTTTAGAAGTCTGAACACCTGCAACCTCCGTGCTACGCCCATCAGACCTGAATCGAATATACTATTAACATATTAAAGTCTAGCAGAAGATCAATGAGTAGTGTGCATGAAGATTTCCAAAGACTTGGATTAACTTGTTTTTGAGTTTCAGCCTCTTAAGGTACCAAAATTAGGAGATTGTGACGGCAAACTAGACACAAATATCGTATACAGTTATGAATATTTTGTGTCACATTGATTTTCTAGATTAGAGAAAGCATTTTTATTCTCTATTTCAGAAGAGTTCCAGCTAAACAAAGATTAGCAACCTTATTAAACCTGTAACTGGTTCATGATAGAACTCGGCATATCTTTCTTCAGGTGCAAACTCTCTGTTACCCTGAATATCTCAAAGAAAACTAAGTAAACCACAAATAAAACAGTCAGATGAGACATTCAACTATCTTTGAAAATCTAGCAACCTTCTCGATATAAGCAACTGCACGATGAGCATCCAATTGCGAATCATCGGGAAGAAATGCAGCCCCGGAATCATCATCCACAAGAACCGCAGGCTCCTTTAACAACAACTCATCACTAGACAAATATTCAGTTCTTAACCCAGCTTCAGATAGCTCATGAACCTTTCGTTTCAGAGCAACACATTCCTCAGAGGTCCTTCCAATGAGTAAGCTTCCTGCAGAAAACTATTCTACATCATCTACAAGAAAATCGCCATTTCATGGAACAAGATGAAAATAACATCGCCTAAAAGAAACTAACATTGGTGTATAGAACCCAATTAACTAAAGTGGGGAACTTTATAAGAATTAACACAAGATCATCACAAAGTCACTCAAAGAGCTCCAAATTCTAGTCAGAAAAAAACCTGTCTTTTTCCAGCCAAGCAGCTCTTCAGGATCAAGACCATCATCGTTTAAGCTCTCTGCAAGCTTGTGCCAGAGTTCATGGCTCCTCAAGGTCAAGTCCCACACATCAGTGTCTGGTTTCTTGTGAGTCATCCATATATACCCCTGCCCTGAAACCCCAAAACCACAAATTTCAAGTTAAGTCAACTTTATTCACTTCAAGTTTCCAACTTTATTCACAGAATCCATAGGTAATGTACTAATGCTCAGATCCAATTTGTAAGAGAATGGTTAATAATTACCGGCACCGGTGGCACCGGAGCAAGGGACGGCTTTATCGACAACAGCAACGGAAAGATCCGACCCGGTTAAGAATTGGCGGGCTATGGTCAATCCGATGATCCCACCACCAACAACAACTACATCGTAAGAGCTGCGAGAAGCTGTTACACGAAGTGTTGGAGAAGCTCCATGTTGGGTTCTCCGGGTGGAGCTCCGAGATGAAAATGGGTAGTAGCTCTGGGGTGTTAAACATGTTGGTGATTGAAGGAAAATGGAAACCATTGGAGAAGGTTTTTGGTATCGTAAAGGTTTGAACTTTCAAAAGTCAACACTTATAGCAAAGTAACAAAGTAGACACTTTTAGTTTGATTTTGTGCCAATTACTATCTCAGTGCTTCTTCAAATAATCTTCTTGTAATAGGAGTCAAATGAGTTTATGTTCCAAGTTCCTTGAACATGAATCCATAGAATTAAAACTGCAGATTCAAAGATCCGTTTTTTTCCGGATATCCGATCGGTTTCTACGTCTAGCTTAGAGAGTAGCTTATAAACAAGACTCAGGTCTATGCATTACCATTCTCTTTTCTCTTGAGATGTCCTTATCGAAAAACTTGGCAGTAGAATCAAAAATCTTCTTAGTATTACAAAGACTATTGATGTCTTCTCACCAAGTTCTCTATTACAAATGCAAGCCTTACAGCATAACATTATATTGATGGCGGAATAAACTCTACGCATAAACAACAAACACCTCAGCTGTGATCTTCAAGCTTCTACTATGAGCTTCTGAAATGATGGGAGTGGCATTGCAGTTTCCTAGAATCAGGCCCGAAAAGCTCAAAATTGTTATCTTGCTAAACTACTGACTAAGATTGCAAAAAGAGCGAGGAGAATCCCTCTGCTTGTCACAAAGATGGATCGCGGTGATCCCGAGAAGTTTACCCTCTGTGCTTGATCTCTGCAGAAATAACAAGACACAGGTCAATGCAACAAGTTTATCTCCATTAAATAAATAAATAAAAAACTCCACTTAAACTGTCTCCGACAAGCACTAATTACATAATGAAACTGGAAAAGCTAGCAAAACAACAAGAATCTGGTTATTTTACATAGAGCAGATATGTTCAACTGATGAAATAATGACTGAGAAGGCCAACCTAAAAGCTAATTCCTGTCTATATCCCAGAAAAGTCCATATGAACCAGGTTATTTAAGTTACTTTTCTACATCTTAGGTGCTTCGAGATCCTCCAATCTCTTTCTCTTGATCAAATTTGGAATTGTTTAGGACCAACAAAAGAAGGAAAGAGAAAAAATCGATGCTCTTTCTTAGCTTATTTATGGAACATTCTTTTCCAGATCTTTCTTTTTTCGTTCCAACTCTTAAAAATATGAGAGCATCTGCGAATCTTACTTTTGTAATGGTGAGAGCCGACCACAATATATGGTGTTGTGAGGAACGGAATTCTCAGACGAGTCACTGTCAATCTCTGGATTAACCACACTCAAGTATAGTTCTTGGCCCAGATACCATGAGGCGAGATTGTCTATTCGAAGGTTCCACATGCCAGCATTGTCCAAAGAAACCAAGATGGCCGTCCATGCACCGGGAAACACCTGTAAACAAATTAGCTTTTAAAAACCACACAGAAACACATGTAACATTTCGGTTTTCAGGTGTTAAGTCATATAACCTGCGTAGTAGATCGAGCAACCGCATCCCCCTTGTTGTATATGCTTCTGCTATTTTCTGTCCACAGACCAAAGTCCATCCTTCAAGACAAACATCATTCTTTAATTTTATAATCACATTGTCCATTAACTTTCAACGTCTGGACATGTAAATGGATCTAATATACCTAATGGAACCTTACCCAACGACAAAAAATGCATAACCATCCAAGTGGTAGCTCTTAACAGTGGTGTCACTGTTCTGAAATATGATTTCCACAAATCCCTTGAACGTGCCGTTTATGACAGAGGTATCAACCCTGGGATGCCTATTCATCGGCCTTTTTGGGAAATCCAACTTGTATACCCCTGAGATGTTGTATTGCTGAGCAAGCTTTAGGGGTGTTGAAGGAGGTAAATATGATATACCATTAAGAGTAGCACGCAATCGCCCATCTATCATCTCTGGTGATCGGTTGACAATCACATAAACATCAGTTACTGTAATCTGGCCATATTTGAAAGATCCCTGCGGGTTTGGGCGGGCAGCTCCAGCTGACAAATTCAACCTACCAAACAGCATTTTACCATCAGCAACAAGTAAAGATTGCAGATTTGAATAGAAATAGAAAAGGGGTTCCAGATTATGCTTCCTACAGAATACCATTCTGGCCAAGATATTTCCTAATATGAAACATAACTATACATAGTCGTTGACAACCTTAAGGATCGTGCTTGGTTCATTGAGAAAAATGTGTCCAACTCAATAGGAGGATCAGGGAGTGGACCTGAAGCGGGTCCTTGAGAATTAGAGTAGTGCAAGACAGCGACTCCACTAGCTTTGACGGATGTAGCAAACCTTGGGCTGGCAACAATGTAGTAGTCATTACTACCAGACTGATCCATAGTGACCAGAAATGAGAAAGATTGACCCACATGAATATCCATATTCGTATAATTCTGCTGAACTGTGTATGACCCTTCTGTCTCAACAAGAAGCAGGTTATGATTCTGTATTCTGAAATTCAAGCTGGTTGCAATGCCACTGTTGTGAACACGAAAACGATATGTTCGTCCTAGTAAATATGAAGATATGAATGTTGTCAGAGACGAGAGAAGAATCATACTATAAACCAAATGAAGATTCAACAAAAATAGATGTTATACCTGGTTCAACGTTTATTGTCCCAAATGGATAATTATTCGAAGCTAGCTCGCGAGTGTAAGGAAAAGGTCCAAATCCATTGATAACAATACCATCTGGAGGTCCAAGGCCTTTCTTACTCTCAACATCCTTCCTCAGCTTCTGATTCCACAGAAGTGTTTCAGATGTTAAAACAAGCATAGCAAAAGAGACTGGACAGCAAACAATAAAGAAAGATTTCCGGGTTTGTGAAAAACCTTATGGCTCTTAGTATACCAATCACTGATAAAGAGAGTAACATCACCATCAGGAAGAGCAAAAGGAACCGGAATGATTTCTCGATTATTGATAATAATCCCTCCATACCCACCAGAAGCTCTTTGAAAATTTGTTGATGGAAAATAAAAGAAACTACCAATCTGATCTTTAACTTGAAACTCATAAGTCCAATTCCAACCAGAAGGAATTGGACAATTAGTTCCCAAAACACCATCTTGCCATGAGTTTTTCCTATGTTGTATCCCATTCCTACAAATCACCACCACCAATAACAGTTTTAGTGACCAAATTCAATCATATATATACATAGAATTGAACTAAAGAATCGACATTTATTACCATGTAAGAAGCAATGGCTCATCAAGATTATTCTTCACATTCATAACAACATTCCAATTCGTAGTTACGTTTAGAATCGGACCAGGAAATTGCCCATTTATCCCAATCACCTAGAAACCGAATACACACACTATCAAGAATCCAAAACACACAAAAGATCTCAAAAATCGAAACTTTCAAATTGGGAATTTCAAAAATTGAAACTTTCAATATTGAAACCTGTTGACGAGTGCCGAAAGGAGAAGCAGAGAGGTAAGAGACAGTCCAATCAAAGAAGATGTAAGGATCGGCGGCTAGGGTTCCGGTAACCGACAATAATGCGACCAAGGAGGTGCACCATAAGTGCGGTGGAAAGCACCGCATTGGATCTCGCACTCTCTGTGTGAGTAGAGCAGTGAGTGAAACTGGAGAAAACCATGTGCAGAGAGATTTGGGAAAGCTTTAAACCGCGTCTTCTGAATGTGAATACAGCAGAGGCGCCAAAAGAGAACATACTTGTTGGGTCCTACTTCTCCAGAAATTTCAGATAAATTATCAAAATGCCCAAAAACGTTGAGAAAATAGTCAATTTAACCCCATACCTTTTATTTGAATGTACAATTTCAATGTTTTATGACTAAAAAGAGTCAACATTCTTCACCCCCAACGTTACCCTTTATGCTTTAACTTGTAGCTCAAATTTTCTTTTGTCAAATTGTTCATATTAGGAAACTAAACTATATTAGGAAGTATAGAGTAAGTTAGAAAAGATTTGTGAGTGTTATACATTCTTGTATTTTATACTCAAAATAATACAAAGAGCCATAAGATTTGCGAGTGTTATACATTTGGATGTATGTCAACATTCGTCAATGACATTTCTCAATTTTAATATTGTTTTTACACCCAAAATAATACAAAATGAGCAGAATAATAAATAGCATCATAGTATATAAAACTCTTAAAAAATATATAATTTCAAAGTAAAACATATTTATTCTATGGAGGAATCAGAAGTAGAATCGTCGAGTAAACTTCCATTGTGGCTATCGGGAGATCCGATAGGCTTATTAAGATGAAGAGGTTGCTTGAGAGTCCAATACATTATACTCGCCGTCAATGTCAACATCATCTTTTGATTCACCTGTTCATATATATATTTACACACATAAAAACCAAATCTTTCACTATAGTGTTTCTTCTATTGATTTTGTTTAAAAGTACCTCAATTATATCTTCAGGGAGTAAGAAAATGGAGCAACCAAGTTTCCTGGCTATGCTAATCACATAAGTTGCATTCATCTTTTTCTCTTCATCTGTATATTAACAAGTGTCCTTATTAAATAATGATGTTCAAACATGAACAAAGACAGAAACATATGAATATTAACAGTTATAGTTACCTGTAACTCCGTTTGTAACAAGGCTCCAGTTTACGGATCTTGGCTGCACTGAACTTAGCAGCTCCAAGAAAAAGATCCCATCGGATAAGCTCTTGTCCTGTCAAATTCAATCATTCTTCGTTACTCATGCATACGCGGTTCGAAAGACAAACCGGCTAAGCAAAGGAGTGTCATACGGATTGTGTATGTAAAACAAATGAAGCAGGAGAGTACTTACCCTGAAACTGTACATGCGGGTTTTGCATCCATTGTTTCTCACTTTAGCATTTGCCCATTCCAATATATCAACGTCTGTTATTTCTTTACCGTTGGAATGTAATCTCAAGTTCTTAAGAAGTTGCAGGATGTTGTATCTCATCAATTGCCATAAGTATGCTGGAAGATGGTTTAAAAACATTCATTATTGAAGTGGTGATTCATAAAAACACACAATTATAGAATTGAGAAATTTTTACCTAGTATGAGTTTCTTGTTTCCTTGAACAATGTCATTTCCAGCAATGTTAACCAAAGAGAACTTGAGCTGCTTCCCTAATTTCACAACCTGATTACAGTTTTCTACTTTCTTGAATGGCAATTTGATTGGAGGCTTGCTTGCTACTTTCCAATTAACAATGCCTGGAGACACTTTGTCTAGTGTCTGCAATAGTATCCACCTGTTAACGAACACGTAGCTCAGTGTTAAATATACATTACACATTTTATTAACCATTTCTTATACTCAATGCTGAAATACTAACCCATCTCTGAGATCTTCAAACACGTTGTTTATGTATAGTGAACCATCAAAGCTGTTAATCCAAAACCGGAACGCTTTTTCTTCTCTTGAAATTTGAATGTCATCAGCTAGATTTTCAAGAAAAGATATCTGTTTCGTTTGTGTTGAAAGGCCGTTCCTGCGGGAAAGAAAACATAGTTCTAATCTGTTAGTCCCACACTAAAAATGTTCCCCTCTGACATGAACTGTTTTTGATATTGAAGTGTATCTTTCACCTGTGCTGGAATATATGTGCTACAAAAGCAAGATTAAGATTCGGGGAACCCTCAACAATATCCTTCGCCGTCAAGTATCTCCTGCATCCCATTCTGTCTGCATGTTCGAGAACAAGTTTTGCTCTCTCAAATGAGCTTTTAACTGCTAAATGTGATGCATTCTTGTGCTCTGGTGCCAACACATTTAATAGATTAGTGTAAGCTTCCGCATCCTGCAAAAAACCATGTCATAAGAGTCTATAGAGCATTTACTAGAAAAAATTGGTCAAACCAACCAATTGGAAAACACATAACTTGAATCAGCCTTTCAATACCTTAACATCAGAGGAGAAGTTTGTGACGGTTTTCTTGTATTCAGTTTTTCTTAACTGAAAATTCATCCATCTCAATAAGATCTTCTCAGGTGGTAAACTCATCAGCTCTTCCACATCCTGTTCATCCCAAAAGTTGGAACAAAGTAATTCATCATTCAATGTTTGATTTAAACAACAGGTATCAAGATAATGAGTGAGTATTATTTACCTTGCTATCACCGACCAACTCCACCAGCTGGGGAGTTTTCTTCAAGTTTAGGTCTGCTAGCAATTGTATCTAGACAGAACAATCACAAGGAAGATTAATTACACATTCATCATTAGCAAAAACAAATAGCAGTAGCAGCATTATAGCCTCACCTTAATGATTTGAGAAATCACACCAAGTACAAGATGACGCTGCAATTAGAGAAACATAGAAATGTTAGTCATAACCATCACCAAAATTTCAAGATACTGATGAATAGAGTCACTTGATTCACATACCCTTCCTTCAATGATATCTTGAGTTCCTATATTAACCACAGTACAACCAATAGCCTTGGCAGAATTAAGACAAAGCGTATGATTTTCATTTCTCTCCCATGGATTAAGCATACTCTTAGTATTAATCGCTCGTTCATCGATCGTTCCAGGAACCGCCACATTTATTAGCTTACTGCATCACATCAGAAACAAACCCAAAATCTTAATCATCAAAGTAAAACATTTTGAAGAATCTGAAGGAAGAAGCTTACCAAAGCAAAACACCATCTTTTGCAACTTCGAATAGATCATTCGAAGACGGATTAATCGGAAGGTACTTGTTTAGAAACTCATCTCCAGAGAGATAATTATTGATATGAGCAACATAAGAAGATTTCTCAGAATCACTAATAGTATGCAACAAAGTTGTTGTAGCTGCTTTAAGAAACGCAGACGAGTTTTTAACACCGCTTCCGATTATTGCGTTTACATGCGCTTGAAGATTCAAATAAATCTGCAAATCAAATAGCAATTACATCACCAGAAACACAAAGATCTAACGAATTGTGAGAGAAACGATGATACTAACCCTTAAGTAGAATTCGAAATCGACTTCATCATTCAAATTCGGATGAAAATTTTGGATCAGCGTCGCTCTTTCTTCGCTGCTTAGATTCTGATCTCCGACTACTTTTGATTTCCCCATCCTTGACGCGAGGTCTGATACTGTTAGCTTCCCGCTCTCTCTCTTCATGCTCGTGAACTATAGAATTTGGAAATTGACAGAATCAGATCGAAAAAATCAACGAAATATCAAAAAACTTATGGAGATTATTCTTCAATTCCAGTGGATCTGACGTACGTACGTGAGATTTCAAACTTCGAAGCTCCACTTGCGTGAATTGGTTCTGTAACCATGGATCCGATACCAAAATCCCGACGAAACCTGACATTTTTCTCTACTCCGATCGATCTCTGAAGCGAACGTGAAGAAGAAGATGAAGTAGAGAAGCTCTAAAGCAGAGCTGGCAGTGAAAGAAAAATTCAAATTAATGACGAAATTACCCCTTTAAGCTTTTTTCGATTTTAAATTTCGCAATCAACTTTTTTATTTAGTGTGGGCAATAAAACTGTGACCTGTGGAGGGGTCCATGACTCCATATTGTCGTGCGAGATTTTAATGCATTTCCGTTTTTGCCCTTTACCTTTAACGACTTCTCGTGACCTTTCGAGAGGGTAAATACGGGATTGATCAAGTTACGGCTAATAATAACTAGTAGTTGGAGCTGAATGTAACGGTCGATTTGAGTAATTTGGTAATTCATCCTATAAGGTGGATTCATTTTGAAAGTTCAAACTTTATTGACTTTAGTTTTTGAACAAAAAAAATATTGATTTTCTTTTTTCTTTTTTGTCAATATTTTTCCCTTACTAATTTTCTGTAAGATTATTTTTTATATGCACAACACAAACAAAAAATTTACTGATATAAAATTTATCTATAACTAAAGAGAAATATCCGAAAATAGTACTAAAACAAGTTTTGTGGATATTAGTGAGTTTTCACAATAACTATTTTACTTTTATCTAGTTATGTAAAGTAAAAAATTAATTATAATTATAAATCGCGATTATAATATGATTTCGCGTGAAGCGTCAATCAAATAGTTGTACTAGTCTTTTTAATATTAATTTTGTGCTATATTTATAACTTTGAAGATTGTGTGCAAAATTTGATAACAAAACTGATTTTAGTGCTATTTGTGAGAATTTCTTATAACTAAATTATTATTTTTTCTTTAATTTTTACACTCTGAAGTTTGTTTATCCTATTTTGAGCAAAACAAAGCATTTTTTTTTCCTATTTTGAGCAAAAATAAAGCATTTTTTTGGTGTGTAGCAAAAATAAAGCATTTTGTTAATATAACAAAAGTAATATTTTGCGTAAATTTAAACTCTCCTCATATTTAGATGCATTGTTAGTTGAGTTAGTTACAAAAATTAGCTAGAAACATAAATTGGTTTTGTGGTGGCAAATAGACAAAAAGAAAATTTTATTTAGATTAGATTATCAATGCATTGAAGCTCCTTTTCTTAATTCATCTTAAATTTCACTTGATAAACAGTTTTATTTTTGCTGTTATAAATACATCTTAAGTGTTTCACTTGATAAATATTGTTTCTCTAGACTTACAAAAAATAAATCAGAAAACTGTTTCAGTGTAATTTTAGTTATGATCCATAAATCAAAAAGTGTTTCTTTGCTAGATAGAAAGAACAAAGAACGCATGGCCGTAACAGTGATAACTTGTTTAATGATTTTCTCTAATTTTCTGGTTTAATGCTTCTTTGCATCATAGCCTTAACAGTGATAACTTGTCTCGGAAGAGGATTTCGTGGAAGGATGTTACACAGTTGGAATACTGCTGCGGCACTCCCAAAAATAAAGTCGACGGTGTCGACTATGTCACACTCCCTATAAAATTGCTCTCCCTCGTGTGCATATAGAGTGTCTTGTAATCCGTGAAGACACACAAGAATTTAACAGAGTGTCTTGACCTAGAGTGAAACGCGACAGTCTGTTTTATTGGATCCGGCGACGTTAACAATGTTCATTAATAACAAAGTAGATATGTAATTATTTAATTATTTTGATAACATTAATAGCCAAAATTATCAAATAAGTATTTTGCTAATAAAAACGAAGAACAGAGATGATCGTTAGGTCATTGTAACTCTGATACCATATTAATTAATTTTGATGGGACTTTGTGACTTGAATTTTTTTGGCTCCCATAGAATTCATCTTAGATAATGTATGAACATTTAACGTAATCTTCGAAACTAAATAATTACATATCCGATAATAATATTAGCAACACTTTATCCAAAAAAAAAATATCAACAACAAAGATATAATTGCAATGCCTTGATATACATACATATCCTTATGATATCTACTTGATTCTCTACAAGATTAACGTGCTGACAAAATAGAGTTCATTTATTTTTCGATCAAAGCATTCTGAAGTAATTGCAATGCCTTGATCTACACACATAAAACTCATTGACAAATCTCCATTATATATTAGAAAATTGAACCATGCCAAAAGTGCATGAGTTATGGTGTTATACAATAGTTTTTTTTTTTGGGTGAATATGGGGTTATACTAGTTAAAGGTTGATCAGATTATACTACAATATATAACTTTAAATGGTCATCTTATTCTACTATTAAGTATATAACTATATATTAATAATTATGTATAAACCGCTGTTATAAGGTAACGTGTGTAATGTATAAGCATGGACAAAATATTTGATTGCAATAGTGTACTATAAAGCTAAACCTAAAAGACGATTATGAAATAAAGCATGTGCCAGACATAGTGAATGAGAAAGAAAGAGAGATTTTGTAATAATTGAGCCAATATGAAGCAATCCATTCCTTGCCATGCCTACTTTATCTATAGCTTCCATCACTTCGATAAAATTAAATTATATTGGTAAGGGATTATGTTTATATATATACACATGTATACATTGCTTCTCATTTTACCAGTTGATAAAAATATTGAAATAAATATATTGAGATATTTATATAGCATTTTAATATGATCACTCAACTTTTTCTAAGTAGGCAATGAACTTAATAAGAATCATAAAACACCATTATATCATTTGGACCCCTCCATGCTTCATCCACATGGTTGCTGATCTCAACTAGGAAGATTTCCATAATTGAAACCTGATTTTGTGTATCAAACTATTAATATTAATGATCAAAACTATAGCTTAATAACTTAAACAATAAAAAACACTTAATAGCTTGTATCCTTGTGTGTCATTTACCAATCTTAAACCTGCATTATAAGTTTATTTGACTATAAGTCTTATTACATCATTACAAACTTATTATGTAAATTTCAATATCTTATAGATACTATTAAACTTTAAAAGTGGTCACCAAAGCCTTCTTAGCTCAGTGGTAGAGCGCGTGGCTTTTAACCACGTGGTCGTGGGTTCGATCCCCACAGGCGGCGTTATATTTTTTGTCGATTTTGTTTTCCCAATTTATCCTTTTATCAATAGTTTTCCTCGTCGTCTTCTTCGATTCTTTATCTTCCTTCCTTTGCTTAAACCCAAAACCTCAAATTTTTTGAATCCGAAACGAGAAATCAAACTATGTTACAGTCAATTCATCTTCCTTTATCCTCCACACCATCACCTTCTCAAAGAGAATCTCTAATCATTCCATCGATTATTTGCTCATTTCCTTTCTCTTCTTCTTCGTTCCGTCCAAAACAAACCCAGAAATTAAAGCGTCTGGTTCAATTTTGCGCTCCTTACGAGGTCGGTGGTGGATACACCGATGAAGAATTGTTCGAAAAATACGGAACCCAGCAAAATCAAACTAATGTCGAAGAAAAGTTAAATCCATCTGAGTATGAAGCTTTGCTTAAAGGAGGCGAACAAGTGACTTCCGTTCTTGAAGAAATGATTACCCTCGTATGTATTTCGAGTTATGTTTAATCAAAATTTGCTTTTGTTTCGTTTCTCTAAGCTTGGCATTTCGTCGAACAACTTATAGGCGTTAAAGTTTATGATACATGTAGTCGTTACTTACTCGTTAGTACGTATTTCTACGTTTACATCGAGTTATGTTTCATTTGGGCTTGCTTTTGTGTTGTTTTCGTAAGCTTGGCATTTCGTCGAACAACTTAAAGGCGTTAGGCTTAGTAATTTTCTGGGCATATTCTTCACTATTTCCAGATAGTTTTATGATATACATAGAATCTTTACTCGTTGGTTATGTGAATTTTGGGTTCTGTAATGGCTTGATATGTGAATGTCTCTGATATGTAGTTGGAAGATATGAAGATGAATGAAGCATCTGAGAATGTTGCTGTAGAATTGGCTGCACAAGGAGTTATAGGAAAAAGAGTCGATGAAATGGAATCAGGGTTTATGATGGCTCTTGATTACATGATCCAACTCGCCGACAAGGACCAAGACGAGAAGGTAAACCAATTCTGCATTCTCTCTTGGAATATACACAAAAATATCTCTAGATTGTCCTGAGTTTGCTACACGAAACGACCAAGATAGCTAGAATTGCTTCTGCAATGTAGTGTAGCAAATCTTACATATTTTCTCTGGATTTTATGGCTGTTGTTACTTTTGCCATTAGTTCTGTAGCATAAGCTTGGACAAATGATTATAGAATTTTTGTTTTGGTTTCAGAGGAAGTCTTTACTAGAGGTAGTGAAGGAGACTGTCTTATCTCATCTCACTAAAAAATGCCCTCCTCATGTGAGTAATATTTTAGTCAGTTTCTTTTTACTTTCAAGACTTTGTACTAGCTTCATATCATGTTTTAAACGTTCGTGTTGCTCTTTGTTTAGGTCCAGGTGATTGGTTTACTATGTCGAACCCCTAAAAAAGAAAGTAGACATGAGCTTCTGCGTAGGGTGGCTGCAGGTGGTGGGGCTTTTGAAAGTGAGAACGGTACTAAACTTCATATACCCGGAGCAAATCTGAATGACATAGCTAATCAAGCTGATGACTTGCTGGAGGTATTGTGTTTGTTTAGGTATATATCTATTTGTATTAGAGATAGTCTGAAAATGTGAATAAGTATGAGAAAGTTTTGCAGACTATGGAAACAAGGCCAGTTATTCCTGATCGAAAACTACTAGCGAGGCTTGTCTTGATCAGAGAGGAAGCAAGGAACATGATGGGAGGAGGTATACTTGATGAAAGAAATGACCGAGGTTTCACTACTCTTCCTGAATCAGAGGTTTTGTGTGACAAACTATCATGTCCATTGTACCTTGTTTATGAACATAGTTGAAACATTGAAAAACAATGACTTGTTGCATGATCGTCGAACAGGTGAATTTCTTAACCAAATTGGTAGCTCTGAAACCTGGAAAGACTGTGCAGCAAATGATCCAGAATGTAATGCAAGGGAAAGATGAAGGCGCAGATAATCTTAGCAAAGAAGATGATTCTTCTACCCAAGGAAAAAGACAAAGTGGGATAAATGGAAGGGTAAGTATGATCAACTAAAACATCTTCTGTTAAAAGTGAAGACGTTTTTTCAGTAGGCTCTGAACCAAAGATTAGTCTTTTTTTTCTTACTTCACTTACTTGATGCGATCTCAGGGAAGTGTTACAGGAAGAAAACCATTACCAGTAAGACCAGGAATGTTTCTAGAGACAGTCACAAAGGTAAAGTTTCCAACATTGCTTGATCAGCTTTGTCCAACAGATGATAGATTTTATGTGATGTTTAAATTCAATCTTGATAGGTATTGGGAAGTATATACTCGGGTAATGCCTCCGGTATAACAGCACAACATCTAGAATGGGTAAGTTCCTTCCTTATAACACCAAATATTTGCAAACAAAGTCTCGTTTCTGTGCATTCATCAGAGCTTAAATCTGTGCACAGGTTCACCAAAAAACCCTCCAAGTTCTCGAAGAAATCGCCTACTAGTATCTCCCTTATTACATCAAGAAAGATTTGCAGGTAGATATTGCGTCCTTGAATAATGTTCTTCGGTATATATAATTGTAATTTGGTTGGTTAATATGACAAATGTTGTCTCTATACGTTCCATTCTCCTTCATTTAGTTATACATCTTGCTCATCTACATCAACCCAACATTACTACGAAACTATTCACATCCCATTAAATCTCAAAAGTTAAATTTGACTTTTGTATTGTATTTATATAGATTTAAAAAATATATATATAGTAGTACTTTTTTTTTTTTTTTTTTTTTTTTTTTTTTTTTTGTGCACATATATAGTAGTACTTAACATCTTTAACCCATTCGAAACGGATGGGAAAAATTGTAACTTTTGTCCTATATGTACCAATTTAGTTGAATAATGAATTAATGATAACAAAATATTTTAAAAGTATTCGAATAACCAATTTTAATTTATTTTTTCCAACGGTTTAATAGGGAAGACATGCGAACGAGACACGAGTCCTAGAGAGTAGAGTAGTAAATGAAAAGTAATTAGTAGTAGGGGCATAGTCTCGTAAATAAATGAAAAAGTAAGGGTAAAAATCCCCGGACGTGAGAGCAATTGTTATATCCATTTGAATCCTCGTCAGGTTACACGAAACGATTCCGCTTCTCCGCTTCTATAATAAATATCTCACCACTCATCGTCTCTAGATTGTTCTTCCACACGCAATTCTCATTTCTCTCTAACCGTAAACGAATCTTTCTTCTCTGCTTTTTCTCTCTGCGATGGCTCAAGAAGATGTTACTCCTGCTGCTACTAACGGCGCTGCTCCGGTGGAGACGCCTCTTGTCTTCACTGAGATCAAGCAGATGTTGATCGTTGAAGCTCAAAAAGTCGGTGACGCTGTGACTTTCTACAAATCTGCTTTTGGTGCGATTGAGTCTGGTCATTCTCTTTACCCTAAGCGTAAGCTTGACCAAGAGCTTCCTCATGTTCTCTCTTCTGAGCTTAACCTCGCTGGCTCTTCCTTCGTTGTTTGCGACGTTTCCTCTCTCCCTGGTTTTTCTACGTAAGCTTCTCTCTCGTTTTGTTGTTTAGCTTCTAGATCTCCATGTTTTCTCTGTTTTTTTAGGTTTTAGCTCGTTTAGTGTTTGATTTCGTTTTAGATCTGGATTTAGGTTGTTGTATGAGAAGTAATAATCATGTTTAGAAGCTATTCTTCTTCCTTCAACACGATTTTTGTTCGTTTTAGATCTGGATTTAGGTTTTTGAAATGACGCTTAAAAGTTATTTTTCTTGATGATTCTGCTTTCTTCAACACGATTACTGTTTATTTATGTGATTTTGTTTGTTTTTTTTTGAACAGTGCCAAATCGGAAGGTTCGAGAGTGAATCATCTCCTCGGAACTAATAACGTTGAAGCCGCCGTTGCGAAAGCTGTTGACGCCGGAGCTGTGAAAGTGGAGGTTACGGAGGCTGAAGTTGAACTGGGATTCAAAGGAAAAGTTACGGATCCTTTTGGTGTCACTTGGATCTTTGAGGAGAAGAAGACAGAGAACGTCGTTGAGAACGACGAGAACAAAGAGGTTTAAGAACTGTCGTCGGATCTGATTCTTCGTCGGTTTCTGAACAGAAAAACTCTAGTATTATCTTATTTTCTGGTTTATGCTTTTATTTTGTCTTTTGTGGAATCCGGTATTCAGTAAACCGGATCGACTAGGCTAATGACTTTCGGAGTTTTAATTTCACCCCTTTTGACAAACTCTAATCTTGGTGAAATTAAGTATTAATCACGGATTTGGATTTTGTTATGTTTTGTTGATGATTTCGCTTCCTTTATCGTTTATGTGGTGAATCTGTGTTATTTGTTTTTTTGTTGGTTTATTAGGGTAGAGTCGTCTATTTTGATTTAAATGAATGGTTAGTGGTTAAGATAAGAAGGAATTAAGAATATAGGAATAATATCGAATTAATTTGTTGTTTTGGTGTCAGAGTGTTGAATACTGTGTTGGAGGTAGTGAAACCATAAACCTCTGAATTTGTGCTTTGTGGCTTCTCTATCGCTTATTGGTCACTTATTTTCGAAATTACCCTTACGTTTTTTTGGGCCTTGTGTAAGTTTTCGATTGGTCCTTTTGACCATTTTTTGGGTTTACCCATAAACGCCATTTGGCTTAAAATACGGTTTATAAAAAGGAGAAATAACATCCGATATTTAGAATAGGAGAAATACACACACAAAGCTTATTTAACAGGTTGGGGCGTTGGCTAGGCCACACTGTTTGGGGAGACCAGAAGCGAGCTCGGGATCAACACCGAAAGAACCGAGCCATGGAGAGTTTTTGTAGCCACAAAGACAGGTGAAATCAGCGTGTTGCAGAGCGGTACAGCAAGGCTCTGTTGGGCTCCTTGGATTCTCCTTGCTAACCGCTGGTTTGCACTCATTCAACTCATCTTGGGTCATACCACAGAGGTCAATCGCAACTGACTTATCGACTAACATAGCCATCACCACCACGATCATCACTATCATAGCCATAGTCACCTTCTTGCTCGCCATTTAATCCTCCTCTTTCCTTTTATATATGTTTGTATGTGTTTGTGGTGTTGAAATGAATGTGCATGAGAAGGTGTATATATATCAAGTTTTAGAGAAACCCGTGAACCAGATTGGATTGTTCTATATAGTCACGGGGATGTGTTATTCCACTTTACTTTTGGGAGAGGGTATTTTGTCATAGAATCATAGCATCATGATTCTTATCAATTATCAAGTATCCATCACACAATTTTCCAGTCCACAAATCTTTTACTACAAATAGAAACAGAAAATTTAACTTGCACATTGTATAAGTATAAAATTCTCTTCTAATCGAAAAAAGTACATTAATAAACATCCGTAAAATACTGGGCCTGATATGAGCCCAAGTAGGAGTAATGTACTCATAAACCATCGTGGCCTTTTAAGAATTTCATAATTCCATAGATTTAATAGAAGTTTCACAAAAACAAAACAGTTAGCTATTATTACTGTCAAGTTGTCAACAACAGTTAGCTATTTTAACCACAAAACAAATGAGAACATCAGTTAGTAATAGTATATAAATGTGACAAAAATATAGAACGAAGAATGAGGATATTGCATATATCGACCTTTTGAAATTAAAAAGTAATAAAAAAAGTTGGGAAAATTGGATATAAAGGATATCTACTAAAAAATTTGTCTATATATCCCTTTTTTCTGTAGATTGGTCAAATAAGTTTTTTAAAAAATCAAAACCCAACTTTACCCTTATTTTCTCTCAAAATTAATTCAAAAAATAAAACTTCATAATTGATTTTACAAAATTAAAATACAAATAGAAAAATCACAAACCTCCAAATGAATAAGAGTCTTATAATTCCTAAGACCTAAAAAAAACTTCGGCTTTGGAATCTCACATTTTGCAACAATAATGCGGCTTTGGACTTTTGACACTAGGTTGGTCTTTTCCTAGTTGACGTGTGAGGCTATTGTTCTGATACAAATTGACCAATCACTTCTTCAAAGGTTGGATATAGAGGAAATAACATTTGATCCACGAGGCTCATTCATATGAAATAATCTAACAATCTACAAACCATGGTTTGAAGTTATTAACTTAAATCATTAGGGTTATTATCGTTACACTTACCAGTCATCAGGAGAAGATTGATTATGATGAACACAAACATTAGAGACGAACTCAATAACAAAAAATGATCATAAGTAGAAGTGAATCCAAAGTTCAAAACAAAACCGGGAACATAACTAGTACTGAATCCATAAATCAAAACACAAAAACACAAATATAACTATAAGTGAATGTAATACTCAAAATAACAAAACGAAAATTATTAGAATAAAATCAAAAACTCAGACGCCTGTAACTCTTCAAAAACACAAATATAAGTCTTTTGCAACAATCGCCTGTAACTCTTCAAAAGTTGTAGTCATTTCCGAACTCAACAATCTCCCACGATTTTTTTCACGAATAATAAATCTCCACTCCTTCTTGTTATACAATCTCCACACACCACTTCTTACGTAGATGTGCATCGAGAAATCTTTGATCAAAAAAGGGAAAATTTGAAGGAAAACGTGTTCTTAGCTTTTTAGAAACGAAAGTGGTGGACTAAGACGTGTAGGATTAAGACGTGTAGCTTTTTAGGGTTTAAAAACGTATTAGGTTTTAATCTCAGTCTAAAAACCGTAGACAACAACTTCTACATCTTGTAGATCGTAAATAAACAATAAATATTCATTTAAATAGTAATCTAAAAAAAATATTTTGTTTCCTTTTCTGAAAATTTACTTTCTATATTTAGAGCATTCTAAAAATTACAGAAATCGAAATCTGCAATACCGTAGAATTTACATACTAAACGAAGATTACAATTTCTAACGATGGCAGAAGATGTAGAAATTATTAGAAAGGCTATTCTAAAATATTTAGAACATAGAGCAAAAGGTAGAATGCATGTTCTAAATATTTTAGATATATGATTTTCGGATTTCTAAAATTCTCAGAACAGAAATCTAGTCTGAAATATGTAGAACATGTACAAAAATGCAGAATACACATTCTGAGTTTCGCAAAACTCTAGAAAACGTGTTCTACCAAAATTAGATGAAACTTTATCTATCAAAAAATCAACTTTTTTAAAACCAAATCTAAAAATTTTTACTTCATATCACCTCTACTCTTGTATATCTACCTGTTTTTATGATTATTTAAAAAAAAAACATTTAAATTAGGGTGTAGGGGTAAAATCGTCCAAACTGACAATCTCACAAAAAAGATGTATATGGACAAATTTTTAAGTAGATATCCTTTATTTCCAATTTTCCCAAAAAAGTTTACTGCACATCTCAGACTTTGACCACAAAACAAATGAAGAAAAGAAATATGAAGAGGTAGAAAAGAAGAGCAAAATAGCCTTTGACCTTTGTCTTAGACTTAGCCTTTCCCTTCAATATATTTGTGTGGGTAGTGTTGAGAATATCCAAATCTCTACATACTCAATTTCATTTACTCTTCTATTTTTAAACAAATAGTTTCTTTTATTTGAGAATTTCAGTCCTATTAATCATACACTCATAATATGATTATTTGGTCTACGAAATGGTGATTTTGGGTGATATTAATTTATATGTGTAAACAAACCAAATGTTCGCTTCTCTCTCTTCCTTTCTCTCTCGCTTCTCTCATCCTTTTTCAACCTAGCTTTGCTTTCCGATTACCGGCGTTGGGCGGCTTCCTTAGCGCCGGCGCCGGTTCTTCTCCCTTGTTTTTGGCTTTTGTTGCTCTGGGTTTGCAGTCCTTTGGGTTTTCGTTTGGGGAGCCGTCGGTCTTGTTCGAGCTGTGGTTTGGGTTTTCTTGCGGAAGCGGTTGAGAGGTCAGATCTGTGTGGTTTGGTGGTCTCTGCGTTGAGGTTGTCTCCGGATCTGTTTGATTTTCGGTGTGGTTCGTGTTATTACGCCTCCTTTTGCTTTCCCCGACCTAGATCTGTTTGCCTCGTTGTGCTTGTTCTCGTCTCTATGCCGCAAGTGTTGTTTGGTTGTGACTCTCGTTTGCCCAACCTTTCTTCCCGCAAGCTCCTTCTCTCTTCGGATCTGTCTTCGGTTCCTTTTTGGCTCGTTACCCTTCCCGAGCAGAGGCCTCGTCTTTTCTGAAATCGGGTTTAGCTTTTGAGTCTGCAAGTGTTTCTTCTTCTTCTTGTTGGTCTTTGGTTTGTTAGCTGACTCGATTCGTTGTTCTCGGGCATGGGAATAGTGTGTATCGAGGGGTTAGACTTCTCTCCTTGTCTCTGCTTTCTAGATCTGTTTAGGTCTGATTGCTTTTTGTAGACTTTTATCTAGACGTTAAATGACGTTGAGTTCGTCCTCGTCGCATCCGAAAGCGTGTTTGTGATTCAATTTGGTGTCTTGCTTGTCGGGTTATGAAGTCTTGGTTCTTGGTTTCGAGAGATTGGCTCTCTTTGTGATAGGAGGAGGTGGATGTTATCATGGTTTTGGCCGGGGGCAGCTTTGATAAATCACATTCAGAGGTTCTTTTGAAGAGGTCGCTTTGCTTTCTCGGGCTTTTGGATCCTTTTGATTTTAAGATTTTAGGCTTTTGTTCTTAGTTTAAGGGTGCGATCTCTTTCGAGTATTTCCTATAAGTTCTGTTATGTTTGTCTTGCTTTATCGTTCCCCTTGTTTAGGGTCTAGTTTCCGGGGAAATCACGTCTTCCTCTGGCTTTGCTTCCGAGGACATCAATTCGTCCGTCGGCTACGTTTCCCTTGTTTGGGCTATGAGTGTCTGTATGGTTTGTTGTATCTTTTTCAAAATTTCAATAATAAAAACTCAGATGACCAAAAAAAAAGTCTACGAAATGGTTTGGTGGTGTTTAATAAATGTATTTATAAGATGATAGTTGATATTTTTCACCATGTAATCAAAATTTGGATTTGGTGGGTTGATAGACAAGAGCATCAGCTTTCCACTACAATTACTGTTTTACCGGCGATCACTGTTTTACCTAATTACCTAAAATCTGTATAGCGTCAATCACTATTTTACCTAATTTAATTACAATCAAAATTTTTTTTTTTGTTAAGGTTATAAAAAGCAAATGACTTCGTTGCCACGTAGGTTAGAAATAGAAAGACTCATACCCGATTTTAGAGGTATCTGAGCCAATGTAAAAGAAGAGAAAAAAGGAGGAGTTCATACTACATAGACAAGGCCATCAAATTTCATATGCAATTAGATTGAGATATATCGTTCATGAATTTGATGCAACAACTAGATTTTCTTGAATTTTTTTGCTCTATTTTTATGTTCTATTTCTTAGTAATCTTTTGTTATGTTTTTATAATAAGTATTTTTCTGTTTATAGATTAAGATTGATGTTAATCTGTGAAGTGTGAACCATAACTATGTGATGATTAAGTATGAATCTTGATATATATGAATCTAAGCTGGTCCATTGAATATCCTTAAAGATGTAGAATATTCCATTAAAAACATGCTTAATAATAAACAAACAAAAGAAAAACACACAATTAGCTAGAAAAATACACCACAACAATGCTTAACAAGCTGGGGCATTGGCTAGGTCACACTCTTTAGGGAGACCAGAAGCGAGCTTGGGATCTACACCGAAAGAACCGAGCCACGGAGAGTTTTTGTAGCCACAAAGACAAGTGTAGTCAGCATGTTTTAGAGCGTTGCAACAAAGCTGTGATGGGCTCTTTGGGTTATTCTTGCTCACCGCTGGTAGGCACTCATTTAACTCTGCTTGAGTCATGCCACAAAGGTCTATCGTCACTGACATCTCGACTAAACTAGCCATCACCATTACAATCAGCATAATAGCCATCTTCTTGCTTGTCATTTTATCCTCTTGATTTTTTATATATTAGTTGTGTTTGTGGTGTTAAAATGAATGTGCATGCGAAGGTGTATATATTACTAAGTTTTGGGGCAAACCCGTGAACTAGATTGGATTTTCTTACTTCACTTTTGGGATAGGGTATTGGTCACTCGGATTCTTATTATTGCTACTCTTTTTTTTTTTTTTTTTCGTATTTATCAATTATCCACAATCTCCAGCCGACAAATCTTTTACTACAAATGGAAAAAGAAAAT